ACCAAAAAACCAAAAATCCAAAACCTTTGTCAGGGGGGTCGAAACTTTTGGATTTTTTGGTTTTCCTAGGGTTTTTTGGTTTTCCAACAGAAAACCAAAAAAATCCAAGGTTTTTTTGGTTTTCCAGCAGAAATCCAAAAAAAATCCAACGTTTTTTTTAAATTTCCAGCAGAAATCCAAAAAACACAGGTGTTTTTCGGTTTTTCACGAGAGACACAGCAGAAAAAACAAAAAAACCTTATGTTTTTTTGGTTTTCCACCGAAAATCCAAAAAAAGCCATGGTTCGCCAAGGCAAAACCAAAAAAAACAAAAAAGACCTAGGAAAACCAAAAAATCCAAAAGTTTCGGGCCCCTCAGAAAGGCTTTGGATTTTTGGATTTTTGGTTTTTTGGTTTCCGCCGTCGTATCGTATGGTTTCTTTTAATGTTTCTTGCTTATGAATACAGGCATATGAATTTGAAAGCGGACATGAGTAGTCACGACGTTGTAAAGAGACATGACTTCACATCAGCCATGATAGAGAAGGTATCATCCCCGAAAATTACGCAAAACACGAATCGTATGCCAAACGCGATTCCCTGCCAAGAGAAGGTTTTGACGGTATTTACAATGGAAAAGAGGCCGAGGTAGGTCATGGGGGGGGGTGTGTCCATATATATATATATATATATATGTATATATATATACAAACATGGATAGTAGAAAGACAGATAGACAGACAGATAGGCAGATGTATACAGCAAGAGAGAGAGAGAGAGAGAGAGAGAGAGAGAGAGATATATATATATATATATATACATATTATACAGTCGTAGACACACATGCACCGAAAACCCAAGCAAATCCTGAGCCCTGAGCCCGGACGCTGACTTCTTTCTATAGCGGCCACTGCATTCCCCAAATCCTCAACGATAATTGGGAGTTTCCGAAAATTTGGGGGTACCTCAGAGGGTTCCTTTAAAAGGTTCCTTAAAGGGATCTATAAGGGTTCTTTTAAAGGGCTCTACAAGGGTTGGGAGTTTCCGAAAATTAGGGATACCTTATTTCGGTGTCCTTATAAAAGGGATCCCAATATTTTGGGTACTCTATTAGGATCCCCTATTTTCGGAAATCCCTATTTCTGAACTGCTAAACCTTCTCGTAGTAACCTGTGTAGCAGCCCCTCATAAACAACCCGGAACTGAAACCCCGCAGCAAGGCACGCAACCAACTCTCAATAAAACCATCGAAGACCCCGCACGAACGCCCTATGAAGCACTCATTACGGCTATCTATCAACCCTGCAAAAGCCATAAAGAGCAAAACATGAATTATTATACTATACAAGTATGATAAGGAGTCCACATGAATAGCCTATATGTGTTTATACTACAGCCCTAAACTCATTAACGGGACCCTAAACCCTAAACCCTAGAAATTTAAAGTAACGCTGGGTCTCCAACCAAGACCGCTCCCTCGGCAAGCAGATCCAGCCTCGGGCTTTTGTGCTCTCGGCTAAGGTTTAGGGGTTAGGGTTGAGGGGGTTGAGGGTTGAAGGTTGAGGGTTTAGGATTTAGGGTTTAGGGTTTGGGATTTAGGGTTTTGGGGTTGAGGTTGTAGGGTTCAGGGTAAGGGATTTCTTGAATGGTTGCCTAAAAGGTTACTTAAAGGGATCTATAAAGGTTCAGAAGCTGTGGGGTTCAGGGTTCCAGGGTTTAGGGTTTGGGTTTGAGGCTGAAGGGTTTTGGTTCCAGGATTCCAAGCAAGAAACCACCCAAGTAAATCATACAGTCGGACAGGAAACTGATAAGACGTGTATATATATATATATATATACACATGTGTACATATATATATATATGAATATACATGCACATACAAATATAGACGTAGTTATGTGAATGAAACCCGTTACCCGTTCAGGCCCTGGCCCTCTAAGCCGGTTTGCCTGACACCAATCCACCAGTCCGGGGGGGGGAAGCGATGGACAGCGAGAAATTCTTTCTCCTGAGCCGGAAACCGGCCCTATACCGTATTTCAGCGCAGATGGGTGCAGAAAGCTGAACAAGCCAGGTGCGGTGCCTTTAATTTGAAGGCTTGGGGTGTATGCGTGCACGGATGTCGTTCTCAGGAATTTCGGGCTTAAAGCTTCGAGGGGCTTAACATAGAAGCCTACAGTATTCACCAAACTATCGCTTAGGGCTCCTTCTTTTAATCATACTATCGAACTATTCAAGCCTCTGCATTACTTCGGCTAGAGGCTTCATGGTGGCTTGCTGGACCTTCGTTTAGACGTTTGGTGAGTTCATCCTCGCTATTAAAATAGGGATCCAGTAAAGTCTTAACGCCCTAAACCGTAAACCCCAAATCCCGCTAATTCCTAAACCCTAAACCTTAAACCCTAAATCCTAAACCCTTAACCCGAAAGAACCATTCCTTGAATGTACTCTTCAAACGGTCTCGGGCTCACGCCCTTCTAGCCTGGCGAGCTCTTCCTGATACTCCGTGCCTGGACATGGCGGCTTAGGGTTTAGGGTGTGGGGTTGGGGTTTAGGGCTTAGGGTTTGGGGGTTGGGTTTTGGGTATGTCTACTTGGAAGATCGTTTAGGACTCGGCAAGTCACGTTTTATGAAGCTCAATAGGAGATAAACGCCGTTTCAAGCATGCGGCTGCTTTGTTCGTACTTGTTCACTCCGTCTCATGACCCCTTAAGCATGGCTAAGTTGTCGGCAAAGTGAGATTTTGGGATTGACAATGGGTAGTTTAAAGCGGTGATTCAACACAGGATTTAAAGTTTAGGGCTTGAGAGAAGGGTGGGTGGTTAGAGGGTTACCTGTGTTTGGGTCCTTCCGATGGCATAGATCATCCACTGAGTTTTCAGCTGTGGAACACGCTCGGGTCGGTTCAAAGGCTTCCTTGTGAATTAACCAAAAGGTCCAAGTACTTAATCATCATGTACCTCTGCCAAAATAATACTAGCCTACAAAAGTACGGTCCTAAGTACCCAATTGTGTTGTTTGTTTTCTCGGTTTCTGATGGTATATGGTTTAGGTAGGGTTGATAAACGATCTATCTATCTATCTATATATGTGTATCTATATACATGTATACAATAAACATGCGGTTGATAATTTGGTCTCAGCTTCCAGGTAGGTGTGTGCTTAAGACGTTAACTGATCATTGGTGGTTGACGGTTGACAGCTCAGCTGTTATGTTGTACATCTATATCTCTCTTTGAAATACTGAAAGTGTCAGCTTACTGCTAGCACAGGTGAGATCTTGGGCTTGCAGCAATACGTGAGTGTGTGCGAGGAACTTAGGTGCAATGCTCAACAGCCCTGACGATGACCCCAACACATCTCAAAACGCCAACACCTCGAAACCCTAAAATCCATCCTGGCCAGTCGCACCACTAGCTACGGGCTTAATGTATAGGGGTTTGAGGGTTGGGACTTGAAAGTTCTTTAGGGCTTAGGGTTCAGGGACTGTAGCAGGACTTAACACTAAACTGTAGACCCAGAGACTCCAATATCCCTTAATTAAGGAATATACCTTAAATCATATTAGGGATCCTACTATAATATAGAGATCCTACTATAATATAAGGTTCCCTAATTAAGGGATATTGGAGTCCCTGGGGACCTTTAACCCCTGTGCAGCGCCCCTTTTTTCTGCCCTCATTGGTGCACACGACACCGCGGTCAACTACCGCGGAAGCAGGCTTTGAGGTGGCAGCATGGCAAAGAGCAAACGCTTTAAGGGGCTTTACGAGTTACTAGTTAGACAAACTCTGGGTTTGGGGGAAATCATCGTGATAGTTGCAGTCATTTAATCGGGACGGAACGGCGATATCATTACTCTTTCTTCCCACCCCTGCATTAAGGTGCTTCGTAGAGCCTCAGGCTGTTGCGCGAGGGTTCGGTGTTTCGGGGTTTTGGGCCTCCTGGTCCAAGCCTTCGGGTTTAAGGCATAGGATCGTTTAGGGCGTCAGGTTCGGGAGCACTAGATGCCTATTCCGACCCGAAACCCTTAACTCTGAGCTTGAGAGCTCCGGGTGCACGGACTTGCGATAAGTTGGAAGAACCTCATCCCCAAATGACTTACCCTTTTCAGGACTGATAGGAGGAAATTACTTCAAGGAGCCTCAGAATGGTGGGCTTTATGGGATCCAGGGAAAGCCTCTTTCCCTCTGACTGCAACCGTCATCCCATATAGGGGCTTGGGGCAATCGGACTTTTGGGGTGGGGAGGTGTTTCATGCTATGATTCTTTTAAAAACCCTGAAGGCGACTTCTCGTGCCCTCCTGTATTGATATTCAAGGTTCGGAACAGACTGGGAATGTCAGGCCAGTGATTCCTCTAACATACCCTGTGTGTCGCCACATGCGGCTTGCTTGCGGAGGGTGGGGCTTCTAGGGTTTGGATCGGGCTGGTAGGCTGGAAACCCTAAACCCTGAAACCGCCACCTCTGAGGGAGGCTCAGGGAATCCTCGAAACCGGGGCGAGCCCTAAAAATCGAAAACTTTGAAAACCATCGGGGTTTTAGGGTTCTGGGGCTCAAGGATTCCGCTGCTAAAGCAACTCCGACTCGCCGCCAAAAGCGCTGTCTTCGCCAATCGCGAAGTGCGAGTCTTCAAAACCGGAAGCCCCCGCCATCTTATACCCTAAACCCCCAAACCCCTAACCCGTAAACCCCTAAACCCCTAAACCCTAAACCCTCGTCGTAAGCAAAATCGGCTTTACGGCTCAGGGCTCTAGGATATTATCGGCTTTAGAGTTGGAGGTTTTAGGATCTTCTTGGACCACGGGGGGCTTCGACTTAGTGCTTCGGTTGAAGGGTTTCGGGCTTAGAGTGCTAGGGTTCGAGGCTTCCTTTAAAGTTGAGCACCTTGTTAAAACTGCTCCTTGTACTACAACCCACCTTATATCAGAAGACCTTTCCACTTTTGCATGATGTGCTTTATTTGTAGGCGCTACATGTCCCTAAGCTCTCAACCCCAACCCCGAAACCCACTCCGATCTCATATGCCCGTGTTCCCACAAAAAGTGAGAAGCTGAACGTGGGTGAACTGTGAACTTCGCAAATGTCCAAGACTCCTCACGGTTTAGGGTTTAGGGTTTAGGGTTTAGGGTTTAGGGTCAATCCTATGGAACCTTCAGAGAGCCCGGGCAAAACGAATGCAAATAGTGTATGGAGATGTGGAACATTCATAGAAACGCGTAAAGTACACGAAACGATTGGAGAACCCACAAACATGCCCATGCGTGCCCTGCAAAAACATGCAAAAACCATAGCCCATAGACACCCGATGGCAGCCCATATAGCCCTTAACATACCCTTCCCTGCAGAACCCTTGTTGAACACCACATAGACCCTAGAACTGATCCCTCAGAAGACCGCACCACAACTTCAGGCTCTAGACCCTGACCCCTTAAACTCCCTATACCACCCACAACAACTCTATACAGCGCTGCAATGCACCACATAACAATGTGAAATCCACAAGACTCAACTATAAAGCTCCATAAACAACACTATACAAACCATAAAACAGCAAAAGTCAGCTTAGATTCTCCGTCTGCTGGCGGAGAGCCCGGGACTCGGCCAACAACTCTTGGACAGTCCTCAGCTGACTTGGCTTTCACAAAGGCCGTCAAGAGACGCAAGTTGTGAAATGATGTATGTATGTAGGTATGTAGGTAATGTATGTATATATGTATGTATGTAACTGTATATGTACATATATATATATATACATTCATACATGTGACCATCTATGCCTAAGTACATCCATGCATGCATGCATAAATACAATACGTGCATACATGTGTATTTCGATTGGCAAATCAAAAGATAGACAGACAGATAGATAAATCGTATGTGAGCATATGTACACATACATATATACACACATGTGTGCCTGTGTATGTTTGAATACATGGGACAGATAGACAGATTGATGGATAGGGTCGGGTACGTGTGCGCATATGCTTATATAACTTATATACGTACACATAATAAGTACTGGCTGATGTACAATAATATGTAGAGATAGATTTAGATAATTCCGTACGTGTATATGCATACAAATGTGTGTGCCTGCACTGCTATACCTGTACACATGCTACATCTTAAGCTTCTGAAATATTCAAGGCTAGAGGTTCTCAGTACATGCACATCCAAGCCAAACCACGCCATTCAAAATACTAACTCTGGGTAATCACCCTCTATCTCTGCAGGGGTAAGCTGTAGGGCACTGTAAGGACTATGTAGGCCTGTTCGGAGTTCAGCTGCTTAGGCCAACAATTCTGCATCTGGGGCTGTAGGGCTTGGAGCTTCGCTGAAACAGTTGGTTTAGGTTTTAGGGTTTAGGGTTTAGGGTTTAGGGTTTAGGGTGTAGGGTGTAGGGTTTAGGGTTTAGGGTTTAGGGTTTAGGGTTTAGGGTGTAGGGTGTAGGGTTTAGGGTTTAGGGAGGCTTTTTGCCCCATGATCGGCTACTCCCAACACCCAACCCCGAACCCATGTTTTCTAGAGTTCAGGTCAGGATCATTTCGCGAAGAAACACGAGGCCTCGCGCCGCGCGGATCAGTGGCGATGGGTGGTTGTGGAACCACTCGTAGCCTGAGCAACTTCTAAGCTTAGAGCTAGTGATTGTTCTGTTGTGCTTTGAGCTGGGACTGTCAATACCCAAGGTAATAACGTATAACAGTGTAATGGTTCCTACTTCCTATAAGAAGCCATCTAGGAATGAACAAAGGCATACAGCACGCAGAAATCCCAGAACCCCCTGCTAGAAATTAGCAGAAGCCACAGACGGCCTACTCTCGCACATACATCGGGGCTATGTAGCTAGGCCCTTTAGCACCTTACTGCACCAAGGCATCCTGGAGCCTTGGAGTGAGACACCGATTTTTTCTAGACAGGGCATGACCTGGCTTCCCGGCCGTGCGATAGACCTGCCGTAGATGTGAGTGAAGGCAGGATGCCCAACACTCACTATTACAAAAATGTTGGAAGTTAAGGAGATGGGCCACAGCGACAGTAAGGATGATGTTCTTTCTGATGACGATCATTCTGATCCTCCGCCTCCTCCTGTTTCTCCTTGTCCTCTCTCACCACCACGAGCACTGCCCGCACCATCACAACAACTGCTACAACAATGACAAGTAATTACGACGGCAACAACAAACCCTTGCCCTAGTCCTGGTCCTAGTCCTACTCCTGCACGTCGTACTACTACCACTACTACTGCTACTACTCCTTCTACTACTACTACTACTACTACTGCTACTACTACCACTACAAATTACAACTACTACGACGACTAGTACTTACTACTACTACGACTACGACTACGACTACGACTACGACTACTACTACTACTACTACTACTACTACTACTCCTACTCCTACTCCTACTCCTACTCCTACTCCTACTCCTACTCCTACTCCTACTCCTACTCCTACTCCTACTCCTCCTGCTGCTACTACTACTACTACTACTACTACTACTACTAATACCTACTACTTCTTCTGGCAACCACGACCACCATGATGCTGCGTCTACTGCTCCAAACGAGGTTGCTACGATCACTCTCGCAAATTACGAATTTCGGATTGCTTCTCATCACTACCACCATCATCCTCAGGCTCATGAGCTCGCAAACCCGGCACCCCAAGCCCGAAACACCTATACTAGACCCAAGAGTAACTTAGGAATAAAAAGGGTGCCCTTTTTGGGGATAAAGGGTGTTATAAGGGAACCTAAACCCTTAAAAAGGGAATAAGGGCCTACTCTGGGTCCTAGACTAAACCTAAACCCTGACCAAACGCTTCAACCCTTACACAGCCTTACACCCGGAACAAGCTTGAGTGAGATCACGACCGCCCAGGGACCGAGGCAAGTCTCAATCCTCAGAATGTCAGGGTTTGCGGTTTTGTCCCTGGAAGTCTGGAGGTACGAGGGCTTATGGCTTTGGGATTGCGGGTTTAGGCTTTAGGGTTTGGGATTTCGGGTTTAAGATTGCCTTTGAAGCATTCTGGAGAACGACAGAAAGTTTGCCAAGGATCTGTCATCCTGTCCTTCAAGGGTGGCTATTTGAGCCCAAGGACTGTACCCTAAACCCTACACCCTAAACCCCTACGCCCCTTAAACTCTAAACTCTTGAATCCCAAACCCTAAACGCCTAAATCCTCGCAATCCCTAATAAACCCCTAAAAACCCCGAGCGCCAAGGATCATGTCGTACTGCTGCACTTGCACCCTCTGGCTCATCGCGCAGAAAGGCCCCTGGATCTCGTAGGCCTGGGTTGTCGTCAAGGAGCGGGTTTAGGATTAGTAGATACCATCATGGGAGTAGTATAGGGTCTAGGGTCATAGTATAGGGTTTAGGGTTTAGGGTTATAAGATACCATAGTCGGGGTTTTGGCTTTAGGGGTTGGGTTTAGGCTTGAGGAGTTTAGGGTTACGGATTATTACGGAATATGAGATACCAGAATAGGGGCTGTGGCATTAGGGTTCTAGTGTAGAGTTTGGGGCTTTCAGGCCTTGTGGTTTATACTAGGGCTGAGTACACTCGCCCCAAAAGGATAACGTTTTCAATTATGGTAAGATTATATCATCCCCCAAAAGTTACATGTTACCTACCCAGCTACTAAGGTTATAAGATACCAGATCAGGTGTCCATGGTGTACAAGATGGCCTCGTCTTGTTGCTCTGGGGTACAGTAGTTTGATAAGTGACCTAAGACCGCCAAAAAGACGCAACATGGCCCACGGGGAGACTTTGCAATAAAACACAACTCCAAGAGGCTGGGAACTCGGCATCCCGTTGCGACTCAAAGGAGTTCAGGAACATGTGGTTCCTCAGTTAGCTGCCGGGCTCAGGAGTGCTTAGGCTTCATGGTTCTTTCGGGTTCAGGGCTTAGGGACCCGGATCTTGAGTTGCTGGCTTAGGCTTCGAAGTAGAAGCCTGAATCACTCGCCAAGCATACACGTTGTAGTCGCTGGGCATACCCCAAAGCCACCCTAAACTCTAAACCCCAAATATATGTTCCTTTCTTTTGCTTGGGGCCTTTAGGGTTGAAGGTGTTTCGGGAGGCCGCAGCAGAACTGCGACAAATGCACCAACAGCGGCGTGGACGAGACTGGCTGCAACTAAGCACCGGTGATTATACAAGGAATCTGTATTCTGGAACCCGAAATTTCATAGTAGGAAGTATTCTGCTTCGGGTAAGCCTCCCTCCCCCCATATAGGTACTTAGGACACTTAGGGAATGATAACAATGATGGAGAAACAGTTTGAAGCTGACAGCGGGTAACTGGACTTCGTCACAGCAGTGAAGGAAGGGCTCAAGCCCAGCTCAAACGTCATCAATGTAGGGTCCTCGAACATTCGAGTAGGGTTCCTTCATGGGGTCCTTTAAAGGGGCTCGCTACAAGGGTCAATGAAGACTACTATCTGGATTCTGTGACATGAGGGCCTCGATCATTGGAGTAGGGTTCCTCCACGGGTTTCATTTGTTGAAGGAAACCTTGTTGTATAACCCTGTACATTAAACGGATCTACCACAAGGATAAATAGGGACTTGATTCTGTGACAAGGGGGCCTTAATTGAATAGGCTCGGAGTAGGGTTTGGGGTCTATCATACAGCATTTACCAGAAGGAACCCTCGGGTATACTGTTACCGCATATTCAAACGAATGGTGATAAGTTTATCATATGGAGCCCTAAACTCATACTACGGGGTTACGAATTACGAAGCTTGCAGGCTCCCCAAACATGGGCCAAGGCTCAATGTCGAAATTGTCTGGAGTGAGACCGGGATGATCGTGCTGACCTCCTTGGCTCTTGCAAGATGGGGTCTGTTGCCAGGTGCTGTAAGGATCGGTCAGCAATGGGACGATATTAAAACCAAATCCGAAACTCGAAATCCTACGAGACTCGAAGCTTAGCTGGTCTACAACTTCAAACACTACAAAAAACAAGCGCATGGGTCTCAACATGCCCCATGCCAAGCATGCACGTAGATGTTACAATCCGGTGGTCATTTGAGTGAGCCAGACAGGCTTCGTACTCCGGAAGCCGTATTCCGCAAACTCCTAAACAACCCCTAAACCCTGAACCCCTAAGCCCAAAAACCCCTAAACCCTAAACAACCCCTAAACCCTAAACCCCTAAGCCCTATAGCCCCTAAACCCTAAACAACCCCTAAACCCTAAACCCCTAAACCCTAAACAACCCCTAAACCCTAAACCTTAAACCCCAAAGCCGTAAACCTCAAACCCCAAAAAGCTCCTCATCAATCCCGACACTGCAATTCCCCTGCCTGCTTCGAGCCCCAAAGTCTGTAGATAGCACCTACGATAGGGGCCTTAATAATTGGAGTGGGTTTGGGGCGGTAGTTTATACCATAGCTAAAACAAGGAATTATTTAGGTGCCCATATTACTTGCCAATAGCACCTGCTTGGGAGTTTCCGAAAGAGGGGACCCCAATAAAGTACACCGAATAGTAGGATCCTTCTTTTAAGGACCCGAGACAAGATACCCCTAATTTTCGGAAACTCCTACTTGTCACTGCTTCAAAGCCCAGGGCACGTGCGGCTCGAAACGGAACCAGACGTTGCGGTAGCCCCAAACAGTGATGTCTTGCCGACATGTCTCCTGTAGAGGTCCGGTTATGAGCTTCCAGGTCTTGTGTAAAAACTTGAGTGCATACGGTGTGCAGTCTAAACCTCGAGACCAGAGCCCTAAGACTTGCAATTGATTCCGGGATTGTGGTATATCCTTCGGTGTTCCGTGGGTGTTTGGGGCAAGTTTGTCTGCCTGTTTGAAGAGCAACCCGAAAGTACCTTGAAGTTTGCGAGAAGAGCCACCTTAAGCGCTATAACCCTAAAGCCAGAAGCATCAAGGCAGGCATTCATTAAAGTTAGCTAGGAACCCCTCCGTTAAGGGTTGTAGGCCCCACCGAATCCCCGCACATCCTGAACCCAGGGCCCGGCAGCCCGCACTCCAAACCCTCGAGAACCTTACGGGAAGCCTCGTAATGAAACTGGAAGAACCCTGATACGAACCCACCGAAATTTACAGCAAATTTAAGTGAACTGTTACTTAAAAACAGGACCCCTGACAATCAAAACCCTTACAGGAACCCTGACCCAGAAACCCTCAGCGGCACCCTCCCTGAAAGGCACCATTTTGAAAATCTCCCCCCGACTCCTCGGAATACTGCTGCAGTGCAGCTGTAACGGCTTGAAGCACCTCCGAGTCGAAATGGGCTCAAGGAAGATGTAGAAGATAAACTCCAAATAAGAAATGCAGAATCTCGAAAACATAATGCACGGCACATAGAATAAAACACACAGCGCATAATCGATAATAGTGCAGAACAGTGGGCATTTGGAAACACTCATGTTTATATGAACTCATAGGTACCATCCTAGGGATGCGTTGCAACAAAACTCCTGATCATGTACGCCGGCAGTCCTCTAAACCCTAAGCCCTGAACCCCAAAGCCCTGAACAGTCAATGCAACTTGGCTCACCAAGACATGGAGTCAGAACTTAAATCAGAGTTTGATGCTCACTAATTAAACCCCTCAACCCTTATACCACAGCGCAGCTATGTGAGGACTCTAACATACTCTAACCGGTTACCATTCTTATAAACCTCTAATATAGGGGCCTGAAAATGATTGGAAGAGGGTTTGGGGGTACATTATACTGTAACGAAAATAAGGAACCACCATAATAGTACTGGGAACTACTAAAGGCCCCTGTATTGAACTCACATCCCAAACTCGAATTCCTGCGAGATATGGAATTGCGACCCCGAAACCGTAATAGAGATGGTGCTTTGGGACGTAATGCCACACTTGTAGTATACATGGACCGAGCCTTCGCAATAATTACTTATGGTATTTTGCTGGTTCCGTATTATAGCTATAGTCTTAAGGAGCCCAAAACCCTATTCTAATTATTAAGGCCCCTATATTCATACTCTACATTATCGTCCCTTGTAGTGTAGGTACTTATTAAAGCCCCTATCTTATAGATCCCTCACAGATCCCTTACAGTAAACCCGTATAGTCCCCTTTCAAGGAACCCTTGGGCCCTATAGATACCTACTAAGGCCACTACATTACATTATCGTACCTTGTAGTGAGTGTCAGGGCCAGATGCTTCCGGGTCCAGTGCCACACTGACTACATCCGGCTGAACTTCTCGCAACAGCTTCCTGGGCCATTATAGGGTTTAGGGTTTGTTTAGGCTTGTTTTAGGGTTTAGGGTTTAGTTTTTTTCTTAGGGTTTAGGGTTCAGGTTATAGCCCGAGTCTTTACGAAAAGCAAGACAGTAGAAGTGCGGGCAAAACGAAGGAATGGGGCTCCCAACCGAACTAGACACACCAAGAACTAGCCGAACATGACCCCGCGAAACAAACGAATAGGTCTGTGCTCCTCAACCGTCAATCCTGAACCCTCAACCCGGTAGTCGTGGGTTCAGGGTGAGACTCCCTCAAGGGCTGGTCTTTCTAGAAGACCCCAGCAGGGTTTAGTGATCCTGCAAATGTTTATATGTTCAGGGTTCCAGAAGGGCTTCTACAGGGCTTAGGGTTCCCTTAAGGGTTCATGTGCCCATACAGTCTATACTTTGGCCCATGTCGGAACTTCTCTTTTGGCGCAGTGAGAACACAGCATGGACCCTGTAGGATATTCCGGTCAATATGGAGGCCTCGATCGTGGTTAGAATGAGGCTTCGGGAGAGTATGATTTTTATGGAATACAAGGGCTGTCAGCATTCATTGCTTACTCCGACCCTAAATACGACATCATCTGCTACCCAAGGTTCAGCACGGGAAGAACGTCACGCTGCTGCGTGGGCTCCGGGGCGAAGATATCGGCGGTATAAAAGCCCAGTCTTAAGTGAGAGATATTCGGCAGCTGCCAGCCGATATAGCCCCAAACGCATTCTGCTTCAAACTCCCGGCAGGCACCTTTTAAAATCTGCACCTCTTTCATGTCCTTCTGTCCCGCGTATTGCTTGGAGAAGTACGTCTTCCTTCGTCCGTTTTGCACGCGGGGTGGATTGAACACGGGCTGTGTTAAGCATCTTCGACTGCTGCCATGACTTGGGATACATGACATGTTTCTTCAATGTTCTTCGATGGCGACCTCCCTGATCGATAAACAAGCCTAAATCCTAAACCTTAACTCAAAACATGTGCTGAAAGCGCCAAAGTTGCAAGGCAGAAACACGCTCCGACAGTTGTGTGGAGTTTCCGTCTGCGACACTGTCCTCAAACAAACATAACTAGTTAAGACATGCGACAGTCTACAATATCCTACAATGAGTCTGTAATGTAGCATAACCCTAAAACAAATGAAGAGTCCGTAAAGACCACAGAGAGGTTGTAGACCAGCCTGCAGAACGCGTGTGCTTCCAGAGTACCAGAGGACCGGGCATCGGTAGGACTCCCCAAATTGAATTCCCGGAGGCCAAGACGTGATGTTCAGAATCAATGCCGCGGTTTTCAAGAACAGGGTTAGAAGGAAGGAACCCTCACTGCAACTTTATACCCCAAAGCCCTAGTCCAGAAGCTTGATAATTACCAATATTATTTCCGTAGGGTTTTTTGATTCTAGTTAATATATACCACAACAGCACCATGGTTGCGATTGCTCGATGACAACACCTGCAGCAAAACGCTTCGGCACAAGCCATCAACTGCTGGTAACTTTTTATTTGCCCAACACAACAACGAATCGTGAAGTGAAACTCTGCGGGCTGCTGGGTAGTTGGATGCCCTTCAAGCTCTGCTTGAAGCCATTGCCAAACTTCAAGCTCTGCAGGCTACTGGGCAGTTGGATGCCCTTCAAGCTCTGGTTGAAGCCATTGCCAAACGTCAAACTCTGAAGGCTGCTAGGTAGATAGACGCCCTCCAAGCTCTGGTCGAAGCCATTGCCAAACGTCAAAGTCTGCAGGCTGCTGGGCAGTTGGATGCCTTCCAAGCTTTGGTTGAAGCCTTTGCCAAACGTCACACTTTGCAAGCTGCTAGGTAGACGGAAGCCCTTCAGGGTTTGGTTGAAAGTGTCACCGAACGTCAAACTCTGCAGCTTGCTGGGTAGTTGGGTACCTTCCAAGCTCTGGTTGAAGTTGTGGCCGAACTCCAATCTCTGCAAGCTGCTGGGTAACTGGGTGCCCGCCAAGCTGTGGTTGAAGTAGTAGCCAAACGTCAAATTCTGAAGGCTGCTGGGTAGCTGGACGCGCTTCAGGCTCTGGTTGAAACTGCCGCCAAACGCCAAACTCTCCAGAGTGCCGGGTAGTTGGATATGCTCCAAGCTCTGGTTGAACCCGGTGCCAAACGTCAAACTCTGCAAAGTGCTGGGGAAACCGATTTCTTTGAAGCTCTGGTTCAAGTGGTCGCCAATTGTCAGACTTTGCAGGTTGGCAGGTAAGTGGATGCCCTCCATGCTCTGGTTGAACCGACTGCCAAACGTCAACCTTTGCAAGGTGCTGGGAAATTTGATGCCCGCCAAGCTCTGGTCGAAGCCATCGCCAAACGTCAAACTCTGCAGGCAGCTGGGCAGTTGGATGCCCTGCAGGCTCTGGTTTCTGCAGGCTGCTGGGTAGTTGGATGCCCTCCAAGCTCTCGTTGAATCTGTTGCCAAACGTCAAACTTTGGAGGCTTCTGGGTAGGTGGGTACTTTCCAAGCTCTGGTTGAAGTCACTGCCAAACGTCAAGCTCTGCAGGGTGCTGGGTAGCTGAATGCCCTTCAAGCTCTGGTTGAACTTGAAGCCAACCGTCAAACTCTGCAAGCTGCTGGGCAGTTGGATGCCCTCCAAGCTCTGGTTGAAGTTGTGGCCGAACTTCAAACTCTGCAGGCTGCTGGGTAGTTGCATGCCCTCCAAGCTCTGGTTGAACCCATTTCCAAATGTCAAACTCTGCAGGCTGCTCGGTAGTTGGATATGCTCCAAGCTCTGGTTGAAGTCGACGCCGAAGTTCAAATTCTGCAAGCTGCCGGGTAGTTGGATTGTCTGCAAGCTCTGGTTGAACCTTTCGCCGAACGTCAAACTCTGAAGGCTGCTAGGTAGTTGGATGCCCGCCAAGCTCTGATTGAACATGAAACCAAACTTCAAACTCTGCAGGCTGCTGGGTAGTTGGACGCCCTCCAAACTCTGGTTGAAGGCAACGCTAAAATTCAAACTTTGCAGGCTACTGGGCAGTTGGATGCCGTCCAAACTCTGGCTGAAGCCATCGCCAAACGTCAAACTCTGAAGGCTGCAAGGTAGATGGAAGTCCTCCAAGCTCTGGTTGAAGAAATGGCCAAACGTCAAACTCTGCAGGCTGCTGGGTAGTTGAATGCCCTTCAAGCTCTTGTTGAACTCGAAGCCAAACGTCAAACTCTGCAGGCTGCTGGGTAGTTGGATGCCATTCAAGCTCTGGTTGACGATCCACGTGAGTGACACTGTTTCGTTCCAGGCAACAACATCTGCGTCAGACAGAGTCTTCTCCGCGACAAGGCGCTGCCAACTTCTTGCAGCTCGACCTGCGCCAAGCTTCTGCACCAAGTACGTGATCTCTCCGAGCTGGACTTGATGCAGCAGCGGCTCGCACGGATCGATGACGCAACCACCGGATGTCAGCACGAGTGTCTCTGCAGGGTGGCCACTTCTGCTTGCGATGTGTACCGCCAAGTCCCACCCCGTTTGGGCAGAGTTGACCTCCAGCTCAAAGCTGGAACCTGCCAAGCAATGGATGCTCACGGTCTGCTTGACCCTGTCCGGACCGGCCTTCGTGGGCTGTGGGACGCTCAAGATCTGCTCCATGCCGCCTGCAGTTCCGACGGACTGGTCTCCACCGGACGGACCGGCCGTCATGGCTTCTGCAGACTGTTTCAGTTTTCTGCGCTTTGAAACCAGGATGCGCAGGGTCGCGCAAGGCAATGAAGCCATCGCCGGCTCTATCCGCCGTCCGACATAGCCCCGACTGCGGTCTGGAACGCTGATCACCAGACTCGCACTGCGGCGCGTCATCATCTGCTCGAGGGCTTGCCTGCCCAGCTCACCGATCGCGTCGCACTTGAGGTGCAGCCGTTCCAAGTGACGGCACTTCTCCTGAGACAAATCGGCCGCGAAAGGTATCGCATCTTCGTCCCGCACATTCTCGCAGGCGATCTCGACCATGCAGGCACCGGATTCCACCAGGGCCAAAGCGGCTTTCCAAGCAGTCTCCGGGCTTCCCATGACCACGAGCTCTTCGAGCTTGGTATAGAAAGGCAGAGCTGCAGCCAGAACGGCGATCTTGTCCTCATCCAAATTCTCGATGAGGAGCCTGGTCGTGGACGCGGCCTTCTGGAGGAAGACCTTCGCCTGGAGCTTGAAAACCTCCTCCGAGTCCTCCCTGTGTGTAAATTTCATCTGCTGCATCCGTGCCCAGAACATGGCTGGCGGGAGCGGCACCGGATTTTCGCCCTTCATCCAAGTCCGCAAGGCCGACCACTCCTTCTCTGAGCGGCACCAGCCCCGGTGCTCGTAGGGCGTCTCGTTTCGCTTGAGTTTAGTGATGAGCACGTCCATCATCTTCTGCTCTTCCTCCCAATAAACGAAGATGTTGGGTCCGTGAGCGTCCACGCACCTTTCTCGCACGCTCTCCGGAGTCAGCATCTCGATCCGATGGACTTCCACGGCATCGTGCGAGTACATGACGAACATGTTGCGGAGCGCCCGCCGGAAGATCCGCTCCTGATCTTCGTTTCTGGAATATTGATGCAACGAAAGGAGGTCGTAGAAGATCCAAACGACGGAATCCAGCAGTCGGGGACGGAACTCCTCCAGGATGGCATCCAGCTGGAACCTCGCACGCGAGGGCAGCAGTAAGGGGTGGGGCGACATTGGCATTCATCTCACAATGGCTCACAAAGCTACTAGGACAACACAGTGAATGCCCACCCCGACCGAATACTGAACCTCCATGGATCCGGATGCTGCATGGTCTCCCACATGTGGCTTATGGAGACGAGGTGGACTTTGACCCGTCTCGGCTGTGGGCGCCGGATCATCACGGACATGTGGGTGTTAGCGGGATCAATTTCTATTTCCTTCAGTTCGCAGGTCTCCACCAGCGCCGGCACCCCCAGGCTGGTCGTCTCCTTTTCCGCCTCTTGCCGGCGCGGCAAAGGCCTCCCGGATTTGTGCAGCTCGACCAGGTATTCGAGGCGCACCAAGCGGATGTCGGCATCTTTCAGGAAGCTGATGAAAGTCTCCGGCTCCAACAAGCCGTAGTTTGTCTCCTCCGCTGAGGATGCAGCGGCCATGGCTTTCGCGACACAAGCCCAAAGAAGCTGAGGGATGTTTTGAGGCTTCCAAGGTTTCGACAGCTGTCTGAAGAATAATAATGATAGCCGCCGTTTGTCCCTTGAAATCGCTTTGGACAGATCATGATTCTACTAAACCCCAAACCGTTTTCTTCATTGTTGATCAGGCCCGTCTACTGAGTTCTGAATGCAAATGAATCGCTATACGTCCATTTTGAAAACGTTGTGCATCCCTTCTCAACCAGTGTAAAACCCTGTTCTGATCATTCAGGCTCCTGCAGTAGATATGATCTGCCCATGCCGCTCATAAGCCAAACGAGCATTACAGAATTGATGAACTCACCTGCTACGAGGTCGCTTCCCTATTGTAAATCAATCATTCAAGCCCCCAAAACCTCGCCCCTAAATGCTACACTATTCATCTAAGCCCCACTCATAAAAAAACATCTTCTTCTTTGCGGGTCTCTGGGGCCTTCATCCCCAAACTTCTGAACCCGAAACCCCGTCAATGCTGCACTATAAACCCTGGACCCGTATGCATCTGGAATCTGGAAGCTTTGTTTAAAGGGGGGAAGGCGCAGGGTCTTTGGGGCCTTCTCGCTGCTCCTTCGTCTCGCAGCTCGTCATCTGCGGCCGCGATGCCATCAAGGAACCTTGCATACGTTTATGTGGGGGCTTACGTTTTCGGATTTTTATAGGCTTACGGTCTCAATGTTGCTCCGACTGACAACTGCCAGCCCCCAACGCTTGAATTGTTTGTGTACTTGCAGCTGGTTGTCTGTCAAAGGTGGGGTACCGTTTGTCAATGAAGTGCGGGTACGGGCGCCTCCCACTGGTTCAAGACGTGTCTTTCGGCTAGGTGTTCCGTACTTTAGCAACAAAGATCCAAACCTGAAGCGCTAAAGCCATAGTCTTACTAAGACCTGCAAGCCCCGTACGCACTATAAGCCCTTCAGACTCTATACGAGACAGCCCTATAAACCCTATTAGCGTAATAGTCCCTGTGAACCTTGACTCAACACCACATGTCTGAGCGTTGCCATCTGCATCCTTGTCGGGTCGAAAGCTACAGGATCTTAAATTCATGAGTTCTGTGGGTGTTCTGAAAGCCCGATAAACTTCCCCGGTAACTCCTAAATCCTGAGCTGACCCAGAACAGGAAACTCGGACAGGCACAGCTTACCAATGATATGATGCCTTGACGGGCGTGTATAGCGACCATGCGCAAACCGGCCTTTGATCGACATGTGTCGATGAAAAATGCGCTTGCGCTACACAATAATGGGGGACTCTTGTCCTTTTGCGGGCGAATCGGACAGGAGGGGAGCGGCATCACACGCAATCTTGATGTTTAGAAGTCCATGTAAAGAAACCGAATTCCAAAAACCCAAACCAAGGGTAGAACCGAAAGGGGAAAGGAACTTGATGTGTTGTCAAGGCCGTGGGCAAGGCTCGGGAGCTGATTGCTTCAATGCTCGAGCAAATATCCGAACCTGACACAGACACCAATACTCGGCGATCAAGCTGTATATATATATATATATATATATATACATACATACTCTCAACCTGAAACACCGAACCTCTCAGACACCCCCGGAGCAGACCCTCGGGGATGCCCTGGGAGGAACCCCCAGGGTGGGCCCTCCTTACACATGCAACTTAAGGCATCGCTTGCACCATATACCCAAAAGACGCGAGTATAATATTCAATGAGCTTTCAATTATAAGGCTGTGGGATGCAATATTAAATCTATAAGGAATCAGCGGACACTAGCTGTGCCTGCAAAGCCCTTCACTGCCCTTCACTCACTAGCCATCAGCCTGGGTACTTCCAAACGTCGCGGCGGCGGAAATCCAAAGCCGACGTGTCAAAATAGCCCTCCTCAGATCAGTCGCAGTCGCAGTCTCTCTCTCTCTCTCTCTCTCTCTCTCTCTCTCTCTCTCTCTCTCTCTCTCTCTCTCTCGCAGTATACACGCAGGTGTGTACAACGCGTATATGCGCACACATACATCTAGATGTCTTTAGCTCCAAACCCTCGGGAGTGGTGGGTAGTGATCCCGTAATCAGGCATAATCAGGGTACCCTGCAGTGTACAGGCCCTCTAATGCCAACGACCATAGGCGGTTGAAGCGGCAGGCTCAAACAAAAACATCGTGCGATCATTTCGCCATTTTCTGTGTCTTCAGGCTGTCAGTTGCCACTCTGGCCGCCCTGGATAGCACTCATGCACTGACCCGGTGATTGTATTGTCGCAAAGCTTCAACCTAAACCATATATATATATATATAAATATAGAGTATACAACCTTAACCTGGAACCAGAAAACCTACACTAATCTGGAACCGGGCCAGGCCTATGCCAATTGCTCGACGGCCCGTGCAGCGATGAAGGCATTTGCGTTGAGACGCCGCCTGCCTGTTCTCTGGGCTTCGACACCCAGGATCTACAAAAAACCCTACATGCTGAAATCTACACCCTAACCCCGAAAGCCGCAAACCTTATGTAAGGCCTACAATCGGGTTCACCAAGATTCCCGCGACAGGCGCTGGAAGGTGGGGGTGGCGAGGAACTTTTCCACGCGCCCCAGCATCTTTAGCATGTGAACGTTCGAGACCTGAAGTAGAACCCGGAGCGACCCCAAACTTTATAGGAATAATTACGGTCCCTAAACCTTAAACTTTCCTAAACTGTTTAGGCATGCGTAGGATTCAAAGGCAGGGCTGTGGTCCCAACTTGCCCGCGGCTCATGGGTCCGCGTCTCGACATTCGGGTAAACCTAGTCTTTGATGATGTTGTCGTGGCTACGAGGGTTGCTAGGCTCCTCGGAGGGCTATCTTAAGGGTTTCTGCAGGTGTTCCGAAGGCTTAGGGTTTAGGGGCTTAGCTTTAGGGTTCTGTTTGGGGTTTCTGTAGGTGTTCCTGGGAGTCAGCGCTTATGTTCTGGTGAAGAGCTCCGGCAGGGCAGGGTAGAAACACCAAAACCCCAAAACATCCGCCTAAACCCCAAACCCCCAAAACTCTTCATGGGTTTGTTTTTGTGTGTTGAACGCCCTTTTCCGTCTAGCAGCGGTGCTGTGGGTTTGGGTTTAGGGCTTAGGGCTTGGTCGGAAACCCAGACTCCCGGGCCCCGGCAAAGTAGTGAAGCACCCACAAGCCCCTAAAGCCACAACTGCCTGGCGCCTGCAATGCAAAATCGTAGAGCGGCCCAGAAGACCTCCTGAAGGTTGCCCCTAAACCCTAAACCAAAAACTCCAAGCCGCTAAATCCTAAACCCCTAAATCCTAAGTCCTAAACCCCTAAAACCTAAACCCTAGACCCGTAAATCATAAACCCTAAACCCCTAAATCCTAGACCCGAAAACCCCTAGCCCGAACGAAGCTGGAAATATATAAGGAAATGGTTTCTACATGCCGGCTCAGGTAGGTCTGTTGAGCTACAGGCAAAGCACGGGACCTAAATGGTACACTGGGCCGCGGCGCCGAGTTGAACCCGCTGGTGGCACAGACGAAGTGATGCTGATTTGAGGCCACCCGAGTGTTGCGCATCACCGCAGGCAGGTAGCCCAGCATGATATCCTGGATCGCACTTATAATGTGCATGCTGATGAGCGATGGTTTGAGTCCGAAGGTGGGAAGCAGATTTGCTGCTCTGTTCAGACTTTTCAGTCTACAATCTACAACAAACAACCACAAATGAAGGAAGAGCACTGTCACTCCTAACCGAGATTGAATCTCAGCGAAGCGGCATCATGATGGGGTTCAGTGTGCAAGAACCTGGGCCACTGTGACCAGAGGCTTTTATCAAAAACCAGGCAATTGGTACAAATTCATTTGTCGTCCTCAGCTTGTGTTAGAAGGCTGGTTCGTGTTCAGGACATCGAAGGAAGCCTAAACCCCAAGCATCATCGAAGGTCGAGGGCTTGGGACTTCGGGCTCATGGCCCTCGAGGTCACTAAGCTGTCTGGAAGATGACGGTTCAGGGTTGCGGGTGCGGTAACGGCAAGGTCATAAGTCCCGAACTCGGGCTCTAGTTGATTGTGAGTATTTTTCCCTACTTATACCTTATAACTAGCAAAGTCCCACGATCCTTTCCGTAGGGTACCGCAACTGCCGCAACAGATTACGCCCATTTACGGCGTCCTGAGCTTCCAAATCCTAGATCCTCAGGCCCTACTTAAGAAGCTAACCCTACGTGGACCCAAAAGTATGTAATCAGAAGGTTTTGGGCCATTACTTTACCTACTTTTGCAGGTCTAGGTAAAGCCAAAGACCCGACTGGTTTGGTGTGCCTGACTTCGGGAATCAACAAGGGGAGGCTTTAAGAGAATGGCCGGAATAGAGAGCCCAGAGCCCAGAAGAAGGTTGCGAAGCTCTAGACTGGATGCTTGGACATGTAGTTCATCCTCCCTAAGCCCTACCTGCACCCAAATAACCTACCTTTTTAGGGCCCCTTATTCTGATTTCATTTTATAGGGCCCTGGAAAAAGGTAGGATTTTTTTTTTCGGGGGGGGGGGTTAAGGCAAACCCTACAGCAGCTAGGATTTACTTCTTTGGTTCTGGGTTTCTCGATATTCGGGTAGTCTCCGAAACACAAAATGGGCACTCAAGCAGTTGTTCTATCTAATAGAGAGGCCTTCATAATCATCAGCCTAAAACGCCTCGCAGTATGGTATAAATTTGATCGAATAAACAGCTCTGGGGTACGCATACTGGTAATGACATGAAATAGTCAGGCCTCTAGAATATGGGTTTCGCAGCAGGGCTGGCAACACCGTATTTGTCTTCACTTTTGGTGGAACAACCTCGAACGACTCCACGCAGGAAGAATATTCTTTCCATCGCTTGGACAAAGGCGGGCAGTGGTGCGAGACTTGAAAAAAGTGAAAACTATCTAAACACAAGGTGCTGCTGCAAGAAGGCATCGAGGGCAAAGCGCTGGCTACTTCCACTATCTTGGACCTGAACACGACGGCGTCCGGCACATCCCTTTTTTACACACTGCCAAGCTGCAGTGCAGGTAAAAATGGGTCGCAGCCGAAGCTGCTCGCAACACACGCGAGTAACTTAAAGGACACATGCTGCAAATGCTGGGAAAAAACACCCTGGCGCATCGCAGCAGAAAAGCTGAAGATAATGGAGAAAGTGTGCCGGCTCGAAATCTACGGCAGGCAGAATCTTCCTCTTTCCTCAAAGCTGTGCCCGCTCCATGTCAGCTTTCACAGAGAGATGAGCGTCTTCCTGGCTTTCGCACTCGAGGTCATCTGATCTTGAGTATTTGCAGGAGCTGTCGGAATTGGAGCTGTCGCCTGCGTCGTCGGGCCGACAGCATCCTGTGGATCCGATCCTGCGCCTGGCGTCGTCTTGGAAGTGCCCTTGCCCTGCGCTTTTGTCGATCCTTCGGTGTTGCCCTTCTTCTTGGAATGGATTTTCAGGAGTTCCAGGACCTCTGGACTTTGAAATAACCACTGAGAAAAAAGTATTGTATTGTATAACGGTTCCTTTAAGCAACAGGTACCCCAGCAAAAGTATTCAAGTATGACGCCAAACCCTAAACCCTAAACTCCAAACCCTAAAAGTATGATATTCCAAACCCAGGACCTTCTCGTCCTGAAGCCAAGCGCCCAAGACATGGGCCTCCTCCTCCGCCTTGGGCTCCGGCCTTACCGTTGGCTGGTAGGGAATCGAGGAATGGGGTTTAGGGAGTTTAGGGTTTAGGGTAGTAGGGAATGGAGGACTGGGGTATGATTATAACTACTATTACTACCATTCTTCCATTCCCTACTAACCAAAGGTAAGCGGCTTGCTCTTCTCCTTCTCCTTCTTGGCCTTCTCCTTGGACTCCTGTCCTGGGTTGTAGCTTTGGGGCTCTGGAAAGTATTTATGAAGAGGTACCTCTCTAATACCTAAAAAGTTCCCCAAATTGCCACCTAGCGTCTGTCTTGCTGCTCTTTCTGAGCACTTGGAGAGCGGGTCCTGGAGAGGAAGTTCAAGGTCTTCACGCGAGTCTCCACGTCATAGCTCTCGGCCGGATCATTCGAATTGAAGTAGTTGTCCGAGTCCGGTCCCTGCTCTGCGTCGGCCGCCATGGCGCCGCGGCGGGCAAGGCTGCAAAACTGTGGGTTTCTGGCCTGCTGTGTGCTCTGAGCTCCTGCTAGTCGCAGTTCGCTGTTCTGGCACGGCGATGCGTGCCTAAAATGTGCCCTGACCCCGTTCGGGGAAGGCTGCGGCAAACCAGCATCTGAACGTCAGTTCCAAGGTGTTCGGAGATAGGGACAGAGAAGAAGGGAGAGACAACCAGAGGGAGAAAATCGGAAAGATACAGACAATGAAAGAGATAATTAGAGAGAGAGACAGAGAGAGAGAGAGAGAGAGAGAGAAAACGAAAAAAGAGGGGACAGCGGCAAAGACCCAAAGAGAAGCCCTGAAACATAGCCCATGATCCTAAACACTTGGAACGAGGGTGGTGGTGTATCCGGTGCTTGAAAATTTGTGAAGGAACGACTTCAGAGCGAAAGCTCTTCCGGCTCTTCCACAGCTTTTTCGTCGTTACGAACCTGGTTGCTGGTAGTTCTATAAGGCACTGACCCTGAACCCCGGTGTAGCCTGAACCTTGCAAACAAACAAACCTCTTAATCTTTATAATCTCCTTAAAATGACCCCGAACTTCTTTCAAAACTCATACACCTTGACACTGGAGCCCCATACCCCAAGGCAAGTCCTGAATCGCAAATGACACGTCGTGGGCCAAAGAACCCCAAAGCTAACTCCCGGAAGAGAAACCGAAACCCTAAACCCCAGACCTGACACAAGCCGAACAGCGACAACATCCAAACATGCTGATGCCTGCCAAAGGGCTTTGTCTTCTCCCTCGCGCGGCTGCCCTGCTCGATCTTGCCTAAGAATCAAACCCAAACACCTAAAACCCTAAACCTCGCTGCCTCAAGCCCTAGAACCCTAAAACCCATAAGCCCTGGACCCATACGCCCACAATTCTGAAACCTTAACCCGAAAGCCCACATCGGAAGCTTGGAGCCTACAGAAGCCTTCAGAGGAACCTTAAACCCCTGAAGCCTTGAAGGGATGTATAAGGGAGTCTCCGAAAATAGGGGTACCTTGTTCCGGGGTGCTTATAAATAAGGATCCTACTATCTCGGGTACTATGTTAGGGTCCCCTATTTTCGGAAACTCCCATAAGGGTTCCTTGAAGGGATCGCGAAGGGCTCCTTTACAGGAACTCCGTAAAACCTTCAAGCCTCAACCATAAACTCCTTTGAAGGAAACCGTTAACGGAACCCGACCCCTAAAGCCTAAAACCTAGTCCCTAAACCCTAAACCCTAAACCCTAAACCCTAACCCTAAAGCCTAAAACCTTCAACCCTAAAGCCCGTTAAACCTTTTTGAAGGAACCCGTCAGGGGCTCCATCGGGCTCCTTTATGGGTTAGAGCCACGGTTTAGGGTTTAGGGTTTAGGGGGGCTGCATATAAGGATAGCTCTGAAGGTCACGAAAAGGGACTAGGGTTAACAACTTAGGAGAGGGTGGAGGTTTGAAGGGGTTCTGGCTCTAGGGTTATGGTATAGGGCCTGTTACAGCTCGCGGTTGAGGGCTGAGGTGGAGGGCTCGCATTAACGGTTAGGGTTTAGGGCTTGGGGTTCAGGGTTTAAGTTTCTGGCTGTGCACGGGTTTTAGATGTTAGGTCTCGGATTTGGGCTTCCCACCGCCTGTATAGGATTGCTTCAATGTCGCCATGCCAATGGGATTGCAAGGATCATGGCAGTGCAAAGTTTCGCATAAGTGTGCACATAAATCGAAGCCTCTGCCTGGAGTACCTATGCTGATCGTGGCTCATGCGATGAGGGCCGAACGCGGAACTTGTCAGTCCATGAAACAACGTACCCCACAGGGGACCTTGGCAGTCTTTGATGTGAACAGGCGCGGCTAGCCCAGCAAAGCCTTTGCTACCCTCTTACTAAGACCCTCTGAAAGCTAATGGGTGGCTTTCCAAAAATGGGTGCCCCAACAGGGTATATACTTCGATCTTAGAGACCGCGCTCTAGGCGTTCTCTCCGCTGCCATCAGTAATCAGGACGTTGAACGGGGCACCCCATAAATCAGAGCAGTCCCACAACCCCCAACTTTAAGCCCTGAAACTCAACCCTGTATCCAACCCCGCAGCCGAGGGACGGATCAGCGATTGCCGCACCTGGGCAATGTGTGGGCGTCGAGGAAATGTAGGGGTGGGCAAGGTTGGAAATCATTAAAACTAATCTCCCATCGTCCATCTACAACGATGCACCATGTATGTCAAATACACATCAAAATCGTCTACAAATTAGTAAGGCCCCTGCATCATCCATGTTTGGAGTTCACGCTGATCATGAGGGTTTAGAATTTACGAAAACTTAGGAGCTCTATATTCTGCCCGAGGAAGATGAGACAGAAAACGCAAACAAGCCTGAACAATACTGCTGATGATTTAAATCCTGCATTACCTTAATTAAGGACCCCAAACTATGGGAATTATGGTATATTCCTTCTAATGGGTCATGCAGGATTTATATCATCCACCGTAGTAGTACTATTCCTGTGGATTCCCTACTAAAGTGGCTTCGCTACAACGGCTAAACACCAAATCTTATTCCAACCGTTAAGAACACACTGTACTTGCTCAGTGTGAGAAGTCAGAACTATACTGAACTTAGAACCCTCGCAGCAATTATAATCTTAGCTGTTTCTTAGGGAATATAATAACCAAAAATTACAAACTATTTCTAAGTAGCCCTAAGAGAAGCCCTAAACACCAACTCAAACCCTGAACCCCACACCCTGTACCTTGCGTAAACCCTTGAAAAGTAGAACCTTGATGCATCACTCTGCACATTCGATTCCTTACAAAAGTCTTCGAAACCAAGTGGGGTAATCACTGGTGTGGAGTTGAAAGGGTTTTGGATTATGGCTCTTAGGACTTGGAGGGATTCGAATCCTGGGGTTTCGGGCACATCTTTAAAGTGCCTGACTGCAGCCGAAGGGGCCGAAACTGTAGATTGGGTTGTGGGGTAGATTGAACCGGAAACGCAATTGACAGTTGGAGTTTCGCCAGGGAAAGATTCCGCTGCGTTGGAAACCAAGAGTCATAGATGACCCGCTTCCAGAAGCCTAGTAGCGAGTCAGAGCATGCTGTACAACCTACACGACCTTGCCCGATGCTAGAGCTGGAAGGGCCTTTGACTCCACAATACAGAGTCTCACTATTCTTGCCCGGCAATATGTACATAAATTAATTGTTCTTTGTATATAGGGTGCAAGAAATACCAACCCCTGAGAATGCATGGTCTGGAAGAATTGTACATCCACACCTTCCCACCCAAAACTCCGAGCCCAAAAAGCAAGCCTACGCCCACTCACCAAGAAAACAAGCTAATAAAAATAAAATCAGCAGCAAAGATCCTGAACCCGAAGAAGAACACCCTAAAACCTAACCCCAACAGCAGCCTTAATCCAGAAAGACAAGAACTTCCCAAAATCTCAAACTCCAAACCAAAGGTCAAATGCAGACACAAACCACATTCAAAAGCCCCCTAAGAATAATCCAGCCACTAGATGCCAACAGAAACCCTAAACCCCACACAGCAACGCGAACCTCCTCCGCCAGCACGGGCAAAGGACGACCGGCACGGCGAACGGCGCAACTGGCCAGCGGACCTTTGAGGGAAGGTTCACAAGTCGCAAGGATATCATAATGCCTTTGTAAGGGTCCGACTGGCTTTCGGTGCGTTTTTGAGGAGGGTCTTATGGAAGTTGTGTGATGCCTGTCTATAGACGGTTCGAGGAGCACGTTTTGGAAGGGACTTCTGGTTGACATCTCCTTTGGCTGCCACAAGATCCGACGTTCTAAGTATAGGGCTTACGGCCTTTATGGTTTAGGTGCTTAGGATTTTAGATTTGGGGGGTGAGGGGGGTTTAGGCTTAGGGTCGTGCATCTTGGGATGCTTGGGCTTCACTTGTCGCCGGGGCTCCAGACGTAAAGTTGAAATACAGCCTAAACCCTATACCCCAAACCCTCCCAAAAAGAGGCCTGAAGAAGCAGACCTTGGCAATTATGCTGCTACCTACTCAGGCCTCTCGATAGGTGCAGAGTAGAGCAGGATTCTACTGCTGGCATCTCCTTAACAAAGAAGCCCGAAATAGACACTCAGCAATACTCCTCGGGAGCCAAAAGCGAACTCACCAGAATCTCCAACGCGAGTCCTACATACTTCATGTTGAACCAACCGGTTATACTACCAGTAGGCGGGTCTCTAGAATGCAGAGGACTTTCTTGGGGGGTGGAAGCCGGGCTACTCAATACCCCTTAGAGTTCCCGAACGCAGGAACCTCCCAACACCTTACTCCAAAGATTCAGACCCCGCAGTATGACACTTTGGCCGGCTGACATGCTGCGAGGTCGTCTTCAGAGAGGTCAACAAGCCTGAGTTGCACGAACGGCATGTGGTTGGGGGACGTCTGGGTCTTATAATCTTGGCATTGCCGGTACGAGCCCACATCATCCAAGCAGCCATCCAGACCTAAGGCTTACATCTCCGGCATGAACTGAACGAGACCCGCAATTAAACTCAAAACCCTGAAACCTCAAAAACCCAAAAGACCCGCACTTCCCAACTGGCATGTGGCTTCTTTCGGCGGCGTCCGGACAGCGCCACCAGCACGCGTTCGACCACACTGGGAGCCATCTCAGGTATCCTGACAAGGGCTGAGCATTTGGAAGTTCGGAGATTTGCGGTTTTCTGTGTCGTATATGATTTGGATGGGCTTTGGTGAATGGATAGATGGATAGATGGATGGACAGATGAATTGACGGATGGATGGACAGATACCTAGACGGATGGATGGATGAATGGATGGATGGATGGATGGATGGATGGAGGCGTCGAGGGTTGCGAGGTTTCTGGTTCAGAGCAGCTCTGCCGAATGGAATGCAGTTTCTTCAGGGACACAGGTAGACTGCAGGGCCTTCTGTTGTTCACGAACTCTGAGAACACACATGGATGATTATAGAGGCTGTTTTGCACAACATCTGCCTGACCAATTGCGGCTTGATGGCTGGCTGAAAAACAGGAATCGCTCTTGAGTCAGATCATAACCCTGAACCCCCAAATCTTGTCACCACTAGACCCAACCCTTAACCCAACACCAGAAGACAAGACAACACAGGACCCTAAACCTAAACCCCCAAGCATAATCTGACCAATGGGTTAAGACACCCTGAACCAACAGACAGCTGCGACCCTGAACGGATAACCCTTCCAAAAACAACGGCAAACAGCCGCAGTGAGTCTGCGATGCCGCCTCTCTAGGAGCTCCAGCTGACCTGATGTGCGGCATTCTTCTAGATTCTAGGGCCGAAACGATAGTCAAAATCTGTGGGGAGGTTTAATCATGAGGTTCTCGGTTTCTTCGGGATTGTAGTTTTGTGTGTGCTCATCTTCCAAGATGACATTGTGCATTGCTAGTTACAGGTCAGGTAGGAAGAGGGGCTATTTGGGTATCTGGCGATCTGTCCATGATCCGTGTGTACGTGTGCGTGAGCTGTGTGAAATATATATATATATATATATATATATATATATATATATATATAGATATGTATATATATATATATATATACATGTATATATACATATATGTATGTATATATACATATATATATATACATACATACATACATACATACATATGTGTGTGTGTGTGTGCTTGTTTGTCTGTGCTTGTTGGTTCACAAAGGTTGGAAGCTCGGGCCATGCTGTAAGTGGAGCAGTCAGTAGAGCTGAAGTCAGGGTAGCTGTAGTACGGGTTTGTTGAAATCCACGCAAAAAAGCATAAACGCATAAACCCTAAACCCTGAACCCTAAACCCAAAACCCTAAAGTCTGCGTGAGCAAGCATGGATACGACCCGGCGGATGAAGCTGGGAGGGCCCAAGGGCGTAGCACAACGAAGAGCCCATAACGAGTTATCCCAAGGGTCCATCCGAAGCCTCCGAGTTAGGCATCCTTATGAGGGTTCCTGTAAGGGTCTAAGAATTAGAAGGGTTCTATAGGATTTAAGGGTCCATGCGCCCAAGTACTAATTTGCAGCCAAAGTATATACCAGTTGGGCACATGGACCCCCAAGCCTGAGTCCTGTGTGACTCGCGAGACTTTGCAAAGCAATCTCAAAGATATTGCGAAAAGCCCATGAAAGGGCAAGTCACCTTTCTCGAACAAGGCCCAATTGGTGCAAGGCTTGCTTTTTACTACTAAACCCGCAAAACATTGCTACAGCATTACTCAATCCTATACTGCCTGGGCCCTAAATCCTAAAGCGTAAGGAAGTCACCTCTAAATCCAAAACCCTAAACCTCCGTAAGGAAGTCGGGTGGCGACGGTCAAGCAGCTTGGCTGCGCCCGTCGTCACGAAGAAGGCCGCTGAAGGCAGCCGATGCAGCGCTGTGGCCGGAAAGTTCCTCGGAGTCATCTTGCTGTAGTAGTAATATAGGGCCTTAATAATTAGAGTAGGGCTTGGGGCCCCTTAATAGTATACTTATAATAAGGAACCCCCCAAAATAGTATAGGTAATTATTTAGGCCACTATAGTAGTAGTTACACAGAGTCCAATATTGTGATAAGAATGTAAATACTAAAGACCATAGTACCAGAAGTTATCATACTATGATTATAGCAGTCTCACGGAATACAATATTTTGGAGAGTAATACCGATAATACAGTTAATACCAGAAGTAAAATTATGTATGGTTATTATCGTTATTCTGAAAGCTGACAGCCACAACCAGTTGGTTTTTGGGAATCCTAAACCCGAGAGGTTATGTCTTAGGGGCTCTTTGGCTTTCATGGGATCCTTCAGATTGCAGATCCGAGGGGATGCCTGGCTTTGGCAATGGTTCATGAGATGGGTTTCGGGTACATAGTACGTGTTTGTTTTGTAGAGTCATAAGTGCCGTAAACCCCATTAGTATCCCTTTTCGGCTACTTGTAACTATAAGGATTACTTACTTACTAAATTCCCCGGCCCTCGAAGCATGGGATAGGTTCATGGGTCCAACGGGTTTTGAGTACACTCCGAAGCTAAAGCCTTTGCGAAGGACGCAAGGTGATAGCATTCGAGTAGCACATGAGCGGCCTCTTGCACAGCATTTCGGACCACCTCGTTTCAAGGTATGGCGCAAGGCTCCTCTTAGGGTTCTGAAGGCTAGGGACTCACCTCTTTGGTACTGCGGCTTCTTCTCTCTCCCTCTCTCTCTCTCTCTCTGTCTCTCTCTCTCTCTCTCTCTCTCCTCTCTCCTCTCTCCTCTCTCCTCTCTCCTCTCTCTCTCTCTCTCTCTCTGTCTCTCTCTCTGTCTGTCTCTCTCTCTCTCTCTCTCTCTCTCTGGCTTTCCTGACGAACACAGGAGGGTGCCTCTTCAGGCCTCACATTCTTGGGAGGAGGGCTCGGGGCTCAAGGCTTCGGCTCAAGGATTGAACTTCTCTGTTGGGCTTTGTGCTGAGACAACTTCCTAAACGCCAGGAGCCTTGGTGGGCGACCTCGTTCCTTTCCGATGAGAACCCCAGATCTACTTCTCAAGTCCAACGCCTTCAAGGACATTTCCCTGCCAACCCACAAGCAACTTCAAGATAATATGTCATATATCAGACTTGGTACATTCGGGCTTTCATGCTGATCCTGAGGACCGATTTTTGGTGCACACAAGCCCTCGATGATTCTGATCGTCTTCAAGATATTGGACAGAGCTCGCGCGCGTAACGCACACCAGAAAGTGCATGTCCATCCATGGTTTGTGGGGGTGGCGAGTATAGTGCAGGGGCTATGGATGAACGTTGACAATAAACACGCCCCTGATCCCTAAATAATCCCGAAACTCTAACTGGACCTTAAACCCCAGAAACCTAAACCCTTAACCTTCGTACTCGAAAAACTCTACGTACACTTGACAATAAGCCCAAAACCCTGAAACCACTGGCCTGTGCTTTGGCCTCGCCGGCCGCGCAAATGAGCGCCACACAGCTGGGGTTGTAGGTGATGGTACCAAGGCCGATAGTAATCACCTCTCTTCAAGGTTTAGGGCTTTTAGGGCTTATAGGGTGTTGGGGTTATGGTTTAGGAGTTCAGGGCGTGGAGTTTAGGTTAGTCAGCAGATCTGTTAGGGTATACGGTATAGGTTTTAGGGTTCATCGCTGAATGCCTGGACGTTCAGCTTTAGGGTTTGGGGGGGGGTCTTGAGGCTTGGGGGCCTTAGTGCCGCATTTGGCTTTGGAGGCTCTTCGTGGGCGTGGTTAACTAAGTATATAACCACCCGTTTAATGAGTAGGGTTTAGGGTTTAGGGCTCAGCATCCACCTTACCATACCTACTTGCTCAGTTAACAGCACGCCCAGGCACAAAAGGCCTCTCCGAAACCTGCAAAGCCTGGCTTCGACCAAAACAACACTGCCCCGGCTAGCCTCGGTTGCTCCATGGCTTCTATATCCCTGCCGCCTGTGGGTCCATGTACCGACATAATATATAATATATACATATATATATATATATATATATATGAAGGAATCGAAATACCTATAGGGACTACTTTAAGGCCGACTTATATGGTATTTGGGCACATGGACCCTTCGAGTATCCAATATTCTTGGCTCTATTGATGGTATCCGTCAGGGTGAGGACGCTTGGAACTTGAATCACAAACGTAACAATCTCTCAAGGCCCCTAAACCCCAAAATCCGAACTCCGCAAATCCTGCAAACATACACAGACGCACACACCCACATACTCTCTAGGCTACCTTCCTTTTGAACTCTGATAGATCCTTTGCTAACCTACGGTTTAGAAACCTGGAAAATCCCAACCTTTCAAGGACCTCAAAAAAACGCGTTCTTTTTATTTTTAAGAACCGTTATAATTTGAAGCCCAACTTTAAGAACCCTGTAAGCCGCCGCCTTGTAAACCCCCATCGAACCCCTTCAATTTAAAAGCCTGTCAGACCACCCTTTTCATTATTTATCCGCTTAAGCCCAACAACCCACGATCCCGTCTTGAAAGCCTTTACAACCATTCAATTCCAACCCCTAAATCCCTAAACCCTGAACCCTAAAACCCACCCAAAAAAACTAAAGCCCTATAAACCCCATACGCCCCATAAACCCTACTGACCCCAAAACCCTAAAACCCTCCGACCCCCAAGACCCTAAACCTGTCCGTCGCGTGGCCTTTCGCCGGCGCACAGTTTCGATACCACCGAGATCTCCCGCTGCGGCAGCTTGCGAGGCATAGTTGAGCTGATCCTGGGGTTTAGGGTTTAGGTTTTAGGGTTTAGGGTGTAGGTTTTAGGGTTTAGGTTTTAGGGTTTAGGGTGTAGGTTTTAGGGTTTAGGTTTTCGGGTTTGGTTTTAGGGTTTAGGTTTTTGTTTGAGCACCTTTTTGCGACTGCTGACGTCCTTGCCACCCGTCACAAGACCTAACGATCGGGCATCTTCCTCATCCATTGGGATTTAGGGTTTATAGGTTTTAGGGTTTAGGGCTTAGGGTTTTGGGGATTAGGGATTTGAGGGCTGTGGGCTTTTAAAGAGATCCTGAAGTGCTCCTTAAAGGAACCCATAAGGGATCTGTAGGAATTTCAGGTCTAGGGTTCAAGAGGCATATTAGGCTGATCCTGAAATTTGAGGTCTGAGTCTTGAACTATTAAGCTGATCCTGAAACTTGAGGTCTAGGTTTGAACCCCGAGGAAGCCACTGTTTTATGCAATGATCTCTACTCTGAGTTCCTTCTTATAGGTCCTGAAAAAGGTTGAGCTGATCCTGACTCTAAGGCCAAATGTTTAGGGATTTAAGGCTTGAGGTTTTAGGCTTGTGATATAGAGTTTAGGGGTTGGTGGTCAGGACGACGACGACAACAACAAAGACTACTTCTACTTATTCTACTTCTGCTTCTGCTCCTGCTGCTTCTACTCCTACTACTCCTACTACTCCTACTACTTCTACTACTTCTGCTACTACTGCTACTACTACTACTACTACTACTACTACTACTACTACTACTACTACTACTACTACTACTACTACTACTACTACTACTATACTCCTACTATACTCACTTCGACTCCTACTCCTACTCCTGCTCCTACTACTCCTGTTGCTGCCACTGTGCTACTGCACCAATGCTGCTGCTACTCAGCTCAAGCTATGCATCTTAACCAAGACCCATGCGGGAAAAAAAGGCAAAACACACACACACACACACATACATGTACATATATGTGTATATATATATATATATAAGGTACATGCATGCATACATACATACGTACATGCGGATAGAGTTCAATCACTCCAAGGGTGCGCGTGCCTCAGTCGTCTACGATTTGGCCTGCAAGTTACGAGATAGGACGCCCTTTTGAGGCATAAGTGTATACTATACAGGTACATGGGCTCTTCTGGGCAATCAACTTCCGAGAATACGGTTGGGGCTCCTGTCGAGTATGCAAGTCCTGCTAAGCAGCGTTAGTCGGAGAACCCCCTTAGAACACAAAGAAACTGCACTTACTTACTGGCTGGAAAAGCTTATTTACAGGTGTCAATTTCTGAGGGTTCAGGGCTTACTACGTTCGAAGCTTTCTGAATGAACGAGCGGGAAAACATTGAACGGGCACATGACCTGAAACAAGAACCCAGCGCCAGTCAAGCCAGTCAAAAGACAGAAAGCGAGCCATCGCCCTAGACCATGAACCGAATCTTACATGTTCAAATCCACTCCAGTAAGTGAGAGCCCAAGCAAATGTTCGCCTGGTCGTTAAGCTAGTTACTGAGTTCCCTAGCCCAAAACCCGAACTTTTGATTTGGGCAGGATTGTAATCGCCCTTAAAACTATAGTGGTTTGACTACTCAGCGACCTTAGAAGAATCCCCACACTGTCGTGCTGCGGTAGGGGTAAGCAGCCTGCACCTGACGCCAAATCTAAATTACGGATTAAGCTCTTTTTTGTTAGGTGTACCCATATAGGCCCCATAATAGTTCCTCTTTGGGGTTCATATGTAGAATCCTACAAGGTAATCCCAAAAACGAAGTACTATGCGGCCTATAAGCAATGGCCCCTTCTCCAGATTGAGGTTTAGGGCTGAAGGCTTGGGGCAAGGTTTGAACACCAACCCTCTCATGCAGCCAGTTTGCCAGCCGAGTGGTGGCGAAATGGTCACAACCTGTGCAAAACAGACCTACGCATTAGCCCGAAATCCTGAACCTTGAACATCGACTAAAGGGCGCTCCTTTGTTGGGGATAGTTTTGTATCGAACCTCAGGCCTTTAAAACGTGTAAAGGGCTCGGGGTGTCAGGTTGGAGCTCCCGTCGAACGGAAAGGGGGCTCTAAACCTCAAGCACTGAATCCTGTCCACGCCCGAAGGAAAGGAAGGAAACCCTTCTGGTCTTGATACGAAGTAAAGCTTTACATAGAACCCGGGTTTAGGGCTTAGGTTAGAGTAGGGTTGTGGCAGGGTATACGCGAGAACCTTGAGAAAATGTGCGTTGGCAACAAACTCCTCAGGCCCTTGTCATCTACAGCGAGGGCCTCCCATAGCCACAAAACCCAAACACCTCCGATCTCTTTTGCTGACATCCTTTGCCAGTCTACGGCTCGCTATAACCAAGCCGACCCTGATAGAAAAGCAATAACTGGGTTGGCCTTTAAACACCCTGAAAATATTTATATATTGGGTCCCTTATAAACCCAAATAAGGAAAATCAAAAGTGTCCCAAAATTACCTAGACAACTACGTGCCACCACCAAGCCTCTGATATCCAAACTCTGAACTGGAGAACTTCTACGACCCTTATACACGCTGAACCCTACACTCCGGAGCCCCAATCCCTCAGCCCTAAAAGGAATCCGCTGATTAACAAACACCCTTTCTTTAAGGGCCTTCATTCTGACATCCGAATCACGGGCGAGGGGGTGGATTACCCACAGTTCCTAATTAAGCCCCTAAACCCCTAAACCCCTAATTTTCAGAAACTCCCAATACCCTATATCCTCATGTACTAAACTCCTAAAGCCCTAAACCCTAAACCCCTAAACCCTAAACCCCTAAACCCTAAACCCTAAACCGCTAAACCCCTAAACCCCTAAACCCTAAACCCTAAACCGCTAAACCCTAAACCCTAAACCCCTAAACCCTAAACCCCAAAACCCTAAGCCCTAAACCCTAAACCCCTAAACCCCTACACCCCTAAACCCTAAACCGCTAAACCCTAAACCCTAAACCGCTAAACCCTAAACCCTAAACCCCTAAACCCTAAACCCCTAAACCCTAAACCCCTAACCCCTAAACCCTAAACCCTAAACCCCTAAACCCTAAAGCCCTAAACCCTAAACCCCTAAACCCTAAAGCCCTAAACCCTAAACCCCTAAACCCCTAAACCCTGCACAGATCGCCTTGGCAGTTGAAGGCGACGTGGCCGTCGGGGCCGATCCCACCCATGAAGAAACCGATGCCTCGGTTTAGGGACTTTTAGGGTTTATAAGGTCTAGGGGTTTAGGGTTTGGGGGGTTTAGGGTTTAGGGGTTTAGGGTTTAGGGTTTAGGGGTTTAGGGGTTAGGGGTTAGGGGTTTAGGGTTTAGGGGTTTAGGGTTTAGGGGTTTAGGGTTTAGGGTTTAGGGGTTTAGGGGTTAGGGGTTAGGGGTTTAGGGTTTAGGGGTTTAGGGTTTAGGGGTTTAGGGGTTAGGGGTTTAGGTTTTTTTTTAGGGTTTAGGGTTTAGGGATTAGGGTTTAGGGGTTTAAGGTTTAGGGATTAGGGTTTAGGGGTTTAGAAATTTAGGGTTTAGGGTTGGGTTTTAGGGGTTTAGGGTTTAGGGGTTTAGGGTTTAGGGGTTTAGGGTTTAGGGGTTTAGGGTTTAGGGTTTTTTTTTAGGGTTTAGGGTTTAGGGATTAGGGTTTAGGGGTTTAGGGATTAGGGTTTAGGGGTTTAGGGGTTTAGGGGTTTAGGGTTTAGGGTTTAGGGGTTTAGGGTGTAGGGATTAGGGTTTAGGGGATGTCTGTCGCGCAGTCGGAGTTTGGGGGCTTTTCCGTAGGGATCTAAGGATTCATATATTAAGGCTTTTGGGCCCAAAGACCATACTATAATACAAGGCTGCGCATTCGGAGTTTGCTTATCTTTGGTTTGTATGGAAGAATGGTAGTAATAGTAGATATATTTGTACCCCATTCGTCCATTCCCTACTAACCAAAGGTAAGGTTTGGGGGCGTTTAGGGCTTTGGACACTTTGGAGTTCCGGGATGTAGGGCTTTAGGTGGCATGGAAACTCTGGCTCCGAACTCTTTAGAAATCTGCCGGAAGTTGACGAACATCCTCAAATCCCGTCGAAAGTAACTATGGGCATCCAAGCCGAAACGTACATACTGCTGCTACCAGTAGAAACATGCAAGTACCTCTGCAGTAGAAAGTAGAGTTTCTATAGTAGGACTTATAATTAATTACGATTTGGGCAAGTATCCCCCAAAATAGGTCCTTAGCACCCTTCGAATATTAGAAACATGCATAGTAGGACTTACAATTACGGCTTGGGTAATTATCCCGCAATAATGAGGCTTATCGGTTCGAAAGACCCTTTGGGTAGTAGAAACAAGCACACCAACATCTCGGAGCCCACCTCCAAGTGCACGAATCTTAGCCTCGTACTCCGCGCACCATTGGTCCACCTGGGAGCGGGGTAGGTCTTTCCAGTTTAGGGTTTTATATAGGCGTAGGTCATTAGCACAGGCATGTTGTACGTGTGCACATGCATGTGTCCGTATACATATACATATATAGTTCACATCGTACAAGCCTCAGAAATCCTCATCCTTAACACGCTCATGTATGTGTGGATGTACGTGTGTTTGAGGATAGTGTATATATATATATATATGTAATCATGTATTATGTATGCATTCTTACATGTGGGTGCGTGTCTCTGTGGCTGTGCCTGCCCCTATTTCAATTTCACTCTTCCTAAGGAGCACCCCACCTGTCGAAGGACTCGCTGCTGCAGCAGCTCCTGGCGAGTGCTCGGCTCGCGCATGCGCAGGCTGAGGTCCACCTGGAAGAACCGGGATTTTATTCGTTTTTTTTAAGTGCAATGGGGCCTTTTCTGCAGAAGATCGGGTTTAGGGTTAAGGGATTAAGGTTTAGGGTACAGTGTCTGTGTAGAACTTTTGGGGTTTGATAGGAAGAAGGGATCTCAAATTTTTCATGAAGGGTTCAGAAGGTTTTAGACGGCTTCTTCAAGGATTCTGTGGGGCTTAACTAGTACCGGTGGTTCTTGTTCTTACCTTTGGCTAGTGGGGAACGGAAGAATGGTAGTAGTAGTAGTAGTAGTAGTAGTAGTAGGAGTAGGAGTAGTAGTAGTAGTAGTAGTAGTAGTAGTAGTAGTAGCAGTAGTAGTAGTAGTAGTAGTAGTAGTAGTAGTAGTAGTAGTAGTAGTAGTAGTAGTAGTAGTAGTAGTAGTAGTAGTAGTAGTAGTAGTAGTAGTAGTAGTAGTAGTAGTAGTAGTAGTAGTAGTAGTAGTAGTAGTAGTAGTAGTAGTAGTAGTAGTAGTAGTAGTAGTAGTAGTAGTAGTAGTAGTAGTAGTAGTAGTAGTAGTAGTAGTAGTAGTAGTAGTAGTAGTAGTAGTAGTAGTAGTAGTAGTAGTAGTAGTAGTAGTAGTAGTACTAGTACTAGTACTAGTACTAGTACTGGTAGTAGTAGTAGTAGTAGTAGTAGTAGTAGTAGTAGTAGTAGCAGTAGTAGTAGGAGTAGGAGTAGGAGTAGGAGTAGGAGTAGGAGTAGTAGTAGTAGTAGTAGTAGCAGTAGCAGTAGCAGTAGCAGTAGTAGTAGTAGTAGTAGAAGTAGTAGTACTAGTACTAGTAGTAGTAGTAGTAGCAGTGATAATTGTACCCAATTCCTCCATTTCCTATTAACGAAAAGGTAAGCACAATGGGTCCCGACAGGCTTGCATAAGACCCTAAACCCTAAACCGGTACCGGTGGTTCTTACAATGGGTTTAATCAGGCGCTGATAAAGTTGAGCTTCACCCATAGGCCCCATACGGTTGATGATATAAAACCTGCATTGCCTTAAGAACCGTAAACTATGGGATTTATGGTATATTCCTTATTATGGGTAATGCAGGATTTATATCATCAACCGTAGTAGTTCCTTCTTGGGGTACATATCTAGAATTCTATAAGGTAACCCCAAAGAGGAACTACTGTGGGGCCTATTTTAAGTCCCATCTGAAACCCATGAAGCACCCAAGAGCCGGAGCATGAGGGTCTTTTCGTTGCAAGAATTTTCGGGTTTGGGTTGAAAGGCTTTATTCCAAGGCGTGGGATGTTGGTTTTGCGCGCCGAGGGCTTCTATCTTCGCGTTTCGGCTCCAAAGCCACTGAGCCCGCACGTGGCTGACGTTCCTTGCCTTTCTATAACCCTAAGGGGCCATGTACTCATATAGTATATAGATTGGCCTTAATGTAGTCCCTATTTGGGGGCCCATGTATCTCTTTATGGGTACATGGACCCTTAGGGTAACCTACTTTTCTGCAGGGCTTATGGCGACAGTCACCCCAAAGAAGCTCGAAGCTCCGAATCCGTGGTGGGTGGCTCGGAAACTACGAAGCTCCGAACCCAAAACACATTACCCATAGGCCCCATAGTAGTTCCTTTTTGGGGTTACCTTGTGGAATTCTGAATATGAACCCCAAAAAGGAACTACTTTGGGGCCTTAGAGTAGACCAGCAGCAGTACAGCCCCGCATAACGTCACAACTGTCCCAGGACGGTGAGGATACATGGTCTCTGTGTAGCCACCAAGCCCTACCTCCAACCGCCATGATTATCCTAATGCTCTGAAAAAAGCCCTAGCCCCAAGCCCTAAACCCTAGCGCTACATTTACCTTGCCATAAACTCCCAACCCGAGACTGGCTAGGCCTCGAAAATACTCCAGCCAGAGGAATCGAAACCACGCCGGGCTTAGGCGGTTCCGGGCTAGTTTCGAGTACAGTATCGGGCCATGAAACCTGCTGGGAACGACTTCGAGTCACCTCAACATCTTTGAGGACGGGCGGAGGAGTTACCCCAAAATCTACGGGTACATATAAGTCCCATACAACGTTCAGCTCCACCAACTTCAAAGCAAACTGTCTCCGCTTGCAACCGGAAGCCTCGCCAGTTGGCCACACATCCTCCATGGTGAGCGCCTATCAACGAGGTCAAGTAAGGGTTGAGGCCTGAATTCGGGTCTGTAGCTTCATGGTTTAGCCTACGAGCCCTTCAAAGGTCAGATACGGTTGCTTGGCAAGTCTTGAACCTCATCACATCAGATTGCTGGGAAACATGCCCCACACCCGATCGCAAGTACATGTGCAAAGGTCGGTTAACTATCTCCTGTGCAAAATGCATGCATGCCCGCATTCCTGTAACTGTATATGAACGGTTTGCAGATTCGACAAGTGTGAATATGCCGCCAACCACTCCCAATTTCAAAGCCTGAAATTCCCGTGACATGTGTTGCCATTGGCCATCATCTATGCACATGTGCCTGGTGAAAGTGCACATATACATACACACATAGTACCCCTAAAATGGCATCTCTACATCTATGTCTACCTCTCTAAAGAAAACTACAAGTAGTAACAACAAGTATTATTATCATACTCATTCTACTGAGTTTTCTCTAAGTCTAACAAACGTGAGCGCAGGCAAAAACCGCTATTATGTCAATGCATTTGAACGGCTGCTGATATTAAGTATTGCAAGTCATAGCAACAATATTGACATGTATACATGTGAATACACCTGTATATACATACATATGACACTGAAAACAGGTTTATTACATATAAGCCAAAATGTATGTATGTATGTATGTATGTACGTATACAATGTATGTATGTACGTATGGATGCATCAATGCGTATGCATGTGCACAACTTGGGTTACGGTTACAAAGGGAGGGAGTCACAGAGAGAGAGAGAGAGGTAACAACACGCGACACCTCCCACACCCCATACCCGCTTGAGGTTGAGAAATGCAAAGATCGCAAACCCCAGGACACAAGGCCCGAACTGTCAACCCTCCCGTGGCCCTGAACCCCAAATTCAAGTCCCAGACCCTGAACCCTCATCAACTTGGAGGGGCAGTGGACTTAGTAAGTAGGTTATAAGTAGGGTTATAATGGGGGGGGGTAACTCCATTTAGGGTACTTATAACTCTACTTATAACCTACTTACTAAGTCCCCTGCCTCTCCATCAACCCTCCCGCGGCGCCGGCTTCATGTAATCACGCGGCTCACCCGTAGGACCATAGCCAGGCTCCCAGTCGAGACCTGGTTGACAGCTCCATGTGCCCATATGTATGTATACATAGACATATATATATAGAGAGAGAGAGAGAGTTATTTACTTATTTACTCTTATATATATATATATATATATCTTCTGCCTTAAGAACCTTATTATGATTCGGAAGACCCAGCTGAGCATCCAACTGCAGGAAAGACTAGCCCCTCGTCCCGAAAGCCTGAATCCTGTGCCGGACACCAGCGAACTTTCTACTTCTGACAGAAATTCCGCTCCGAGGCCTCATCAACATACGGTGGATGATATAAATCCTGCATGACCCAGTATAAGGAATATACCATAATTCCCATAGTTTAGGGTCCGTAAGGTAATGCAGGATTTATATCATCAACAGTATGGTGACGGTCTGGCAAGAACACCAGATGTGAAACCCTACAGTACACTCGAAACTCTAACTAAACCAGCACTTGTTCACCCTACACTCTAAACCCTAAACCCTAAACCCTACACTCTAAACCCTAAACCCTAAACCCTACACTCTAAACCCTAAACCCTAAACCCTACACTCTAAACCCTAAGCCCTAAACCCTACACTCTAAACCCTAAACCCTAAACCCTAAACCCTAAACCCTAAACCCTAAGCCAGTACTTCTTTATGTTGAAATGCTGCAGGGCGCATGGATTCCAGCCACCAGGGGGCAGCTTTTTGAGCCCCAAGTCCGAAGAACCCCTAAGCCCCCCTAGGGTTCTTTAAAGGGAACCCTAGGGTTCCTTTAAAGGGAACCCTAGGGTTCCTTTAAAGGAACCCCAAACTCCCTAAACCCAAAAAATCTTACACCCTAAACCCCTAAACTCGTAAACCCTAAGTCCCAAAGCCCCAAACTCAAAAACCCTAAACCCTTACCCCCCCTAAACCCCTAAACCCCTAAACCCCGAACTCAAAACCCCCCCCCCCCCCCCGCAAAAATCTGTGACGAAGAGCCGATCTTGGAGCAATCCATCAGCAGCGCCCGCTTTGGATCGAGGCCGAAGCCCTTGATGTAGTACTCCTTTTCGGGTCCAGGGTTTTAGGGGTTTGGGTTTTGGGGTAGGGATTAAGGGTTTTGGGGTTTAGGGTTTAGGATCGTGGGTGTTTGGGGTCCTGGGTGTTTGGGGGCTACTTGATGTAGTCGTCTTATTCTAAGGTGTGTTGGCTAGTACACCGTTTATGGTTTAGGGTCTTAATTGGGCCTTGCCTTCGCTGGGGCTTCTCCATCTCTTGAGGCTCAGCATTAAGGGTAGGCAAAAAGGTTCCCAAAGCCCTGTCGAGCCACAATCCTTCAGCCCAATCTGTGGACTCCAATATGTGTTTTCTAGGTGGGGCTTTTAAAGCCTTTGAAAACATTTAGTAAACAAGATCCTCTTAAACCCAATAAGGGAAAACATAAATGTCCCAAAGCCCCACCTAGTTTTTGATTCAGTATTTTCTGCGGTGCTGGGGCAAGGACCGTTCTTGCACGGGAGTCTTGGGGCTTAAATTAGCCACTCAAGCTCAATGTGCAGAGATTAAGTTAGAACCATAACTAGTGGTATTACAGTAGTAGGATCCTTTCTGCAAGGACTTGCCATTCTAGGACCCTGCATTTAACATTTCCAGCTTGTCACGGACCCATCATCGGCTTTAATCGCGAAGGCTGAAGCTGAGTTGGGGAATTCCACCCTACCCCAGCATAATTAGGCTGCAACATGCCCAAACACCCCTTAAGCTGCAAGACCATGGGCTTTCCGAAGGAGTTAGGCTACTGAGAGCAATCCTACAACCGGGATCTTCGTACTTGCCAGGCATCATTCACATAGTGGTAGAAGCTGTTGTGCTGCGCCGGGGAGATGGGATAGAACTCATCTATCTGCACAAAGGTCAGCTTCCCCAGCTCTGGCTTCTCCTCGGCTGGCCGCCAAGAAGCTGTCGGTTCAAAAGGTTGAGGGTTTCCGATCTAGGTCATGGCTAGGACAGAAATAGATTGAATCTTTGGTTCTAAGCTGGTAGCGGTTTTTGTAGCGGAGACTTCCCTGTCCCTGATGCCTCCAAACTCCCGCAGTCAGCATGCTGGCTTAGAAAAGGCGGGCCTTGACCTTGTAGGGTGTACATCTTTCCCCGTCTCCGCGTGCCCTTCTGGAGACGGGTTTGGAATCCCCTTTGACATGGGCAGTCCTCAAAGCCTCAAACCTTTAAACTCTAGCTTGGGGTTTAGGGTCCTTGGGTTTAGTTGTTTAAGGCTACCAAAAAGGGGCATTCGGAGACTGCGTCTGAACTGGTGCCTCGCTTTCTTCCAGTGCAGAAGCAAAGAAACCAACTAAAGCCCCACGTCCGAGCCCTTCCTGTCTAATTAAGAGGTCTTCACCCTAAACCCTGAAAGTACTAAACCAGAAGAATATCTACTTCTCCCAGAACTCTGCAGCCAAAAGCTCCGAAACGAGCCTCCAATATCGCAAGCAATCCGGACAAGCACTCTTGAAAGCCCTTATAGAACCCGGCATGACCGGCTGAAGACCCGCCCGAAAACAGCACTCCTCGACCCATACGGTTGATGATATAAATCCTGCATTACCTTAGGGACCCTAAACTATGGGAACTATGGTATATTCTTTATTGTGGGTAATGCAGGATTTATATCATCAACCGTACGGGTAGTGAGCTACTTCAACCGATTGGGGTCTCATCAACCCTGCACCCAGAAACTCCTCAACTAGAATCTATAGATTCCAAACCCACGTCTCTAGAACCGCGAAATCCATTCCAAACCATGGTACCAAACACCGAGTTCCAAAGACCAACCCAGATCTTCCAAAACCCCTTCATTAAGGAATATACCTTCAATTATAGTAGGATCCCAAATATGATTTAAGGTATATCCCTTAATTAAGGGATATTGGAGTCTCTGGGAATTGCAAGCCTGAAAGAAGCCTATGGCACTTAACAAAGCCCTGCTCGAAAAAAAGCTTGTAGAACCCTAAAGAACCCCTAGAGACCCCCATATATGGGAGTTTCCGAAAATAGGGGTACTTTATTGTGGGGTCCTTATCATAAGGATCCTACTATTTGGGGTACTATATTAATAGGGTCCCCTATTTTCGGAAACTCCCATGCTGAAAAACGGTCCTAGCGTCCGGGCGGAGGCCGAACTTGCGCGCTTCGCCCTGGATCTCCGGTGAACTCCAGCTTTGCAGAATCCGCTGGACCCACTTGATGAAATACCTGCGGCTTGTTGGCTTTAGGCAACAAGTACATATAAGGTTTCAGCTTTTGTTTTCAAGCACCTTTTTCCGTGGTTTCAGGTTTAGGGTGCAGGGCTTAGGGTCATGCGTTTTGTAGGGTTTGAGGACCCACCTGATAAAGTGCTTGCGGCTTGCTGATTCGAGGTTCAGGGTCCATGTTGATTGAGGCTTCGGGAGTAAAAGCTTAGGGCCTGGGATAAGGCTTATACTATACTGAACTTAGAACCCTAGCAAAAATTAGAATTTTAGCTGTTTCTTAGGGAGTATAATAACTATAATAACCAAAAATTTAACAATTAATTCTAAGTACCCCTAAGTATAGGTCTCAGTCTGCAGCTCTATAGTTGTAGGGACCTACTTCATGGAGCAACTTGGAGAGTCCTGCCGGGGGTGTAGGGGATCTCTTAGAAGGGGCCCCCACCCTGTCATAGTGGTATAATAGGAATATAATAGGGCCCTATAATACATAATCCTTATAGTCACTATTTCAGGGTGGGGGCAGCTTCTAAGGGATCTCTTATAGTCTCTTATAGCTCAGATCACAATATTCTTCAAGCTGGTTCAAGGATGTAGTCTGAATTGCAGTTTTGGAGCCACCAAAAGTGTTCTAGTGAATAGGTACCTCTATACAAGACCATAGAGGAAATTTCGAGGTTTGCCCATGTGCCACCTAGTAGATGCTTTGGTCCAAAACGCTTGCTATACAGATTTCTCGGCCCAGAGTATGTACTATCTGAGTATCTGCTAAACCCTACCTAAACGCTCCTAAACCGTAAACCACCAACATGAGTCGCTTAGAATACTGCTTGAGAAGAAGATGCTCGGGCGTCTTGCCAGTGGGCAGAGAGCAAACGCCTTCAGGATTTTGCTGCGCCCATTCCTGAGCGTAGGCAACGGGTTTAAGGTTTCAGGACTAAGGCACATATCTTACACATAAGACCCTAAACCCCAATCCCTAAATTCCTATAATACCCTAATACCCTAAACCCTTAACCCGAATCCCTGAACCCTGAACCCTAGTCCCTCATTAAGCCGCTCTAAACCATCCTAAACCCTACAGGCCCCAATACACCGAACTGAACCTGAAACCCTAACCCAGCTAATGCCCCAAAGTTCGAGGAATCTCCACGCCGCCGCCTGCCCCAGGGCAGGAAAGTTCCTTGGCTCTGTGGTGCTTAATGCCCCAGGGTTTGTTGGTTCGGGGCTTGAGGGGTTTTAGGGGTGGTGTAGGGGGTTTGAGGTTTTGGGCCCGGCTTTGGGGGTTTAGGGTTTTATGAAGCTTTCAAGTCTTCAATTAGGGTCCGGGTTTAGGGCTTAGGGGGTTTACAAGGCTTAGCTTCGTGGAACTGCATCATATTGCCAGTAGTCCCCCAATCGGTATAAGCTACATTAGGGTTTGTACCTTGGAGTGTGCGAAAGATGCCCCTCCACTTCAAAAACAAAATGCACTTTGGCGAGACGGGGCCAAGAGGCTCGACAACAATGGTGCGGATCTTCTCCTGGAGGGTGGGACAAGGCTGTGGGGTACCTGTAGTCTCCGTTGTGACCAAATCGAAAAGGCCCAAAAAGGGTACAGTTCAGCCATTGGCTATCTAAGTTATGCTTTTCTTTTTAAATCAGGGTTTCGCACATCGCTATGGAGTTGAAAAGCTTTACGCTTAGGAGGCCTCCGGAAACAAGAGCTTAAGAGTTTAAGATTCGGGTACGGAACAAAGCGGTGTTTAACTGTGCAAGCAGCACCCCAAAACTGAGTCGGGGTCTGAAAAGGTGGGATAGCTAGCTAGGATGAAGGATCCTATACTGAACTTAGAAGCCTAGCAACAATTATAATTTTGGCTGTTTCTTGGGGCAAATAGCGACCAAAAATTAGAAACTGTTTCTAAGTACCCCTAAGGATCCCTGATATGGGGACGCGTACTTGAGAAACTATCTGCGTCACACCTTTGCAGCCGATTGAAACTGACCCTGAACGAAGCTAGCTGCAACGCATGGTCAACCCGGAAGGTAAACTGGGGGGAAACCGAAACAAACTTGATGTGAAGACGTGTGAAGGGCTTGAAAGTTCAATATGGTACTGTTGATGGACAAAATCCTGCATGACCCTAAGGACTCTCAACTATGGGAACTATGGTATATTCCTTATAATGGGTAATGCGCAGGATTTTGTCCATCAGCAGTAGTTCTAAAACTGGCAATCAAGTGCTGGAACCCTTGTTAGCAGGACCCTCAATACGAAACTCGCAACAATAAGGACATAGCAGAGGGGCACACACGAACAACTCCATAGATGCGACTATGGGAGAGCATATCGATTACCGCTTGAAGCACAGGGATTTTGACGCGCTTACTTACCCACCTCCACGCCCAGCTCCCTGCCTACCTTCCTACCTACCTACCTGCCTAAACCCTGAACTTCCTGGCAGACTTCCTTACCCAAAGGCTCCATGTACCCACATAGTAGATACTTAGGCCTTAAAGTACCCATACAGGGACCCCTTTATGGCCTGAGTGCCTACGATATGGGTACATGGAGTCTTAGGGTTATTCAGACACGGACGGACATGCGCATGGACTGGTGTCCTCTGGCTCGTAGAGCGCGCCAAAGGAGCTCCGGGCAATCAGCTGCGCCTAGATCCGGAACAAAGGCTGGAGGTTTTGAGTTCAGGGCTTTACATGGAACCCTTTAAACATTTAGAATAAGGGTTTGGGGCCCATTATGCGACAATTACAATAAGGAACCCCCCAAGCAGCAGTGGTAATTATCTACGCCCCTCTGTTAGGGTCCAGCCGATGTGCTGAGACCTGGTTGGAGGTTCAGGGTTTAGCGTTCGCAGCAGGGTTTAGGGTTTAGCCTGCGTTGTCTTCGTGTTGGGACCGACGCCCCAACTCCCAAAGGGTCCAAGTGCCATCATAGCAGGTATGTGGGCCCCAAAACTACTGTACTATACCACTATAACTTGGACCCTTTGAGGATAACTCCCAAACCACCTGGAACACCGAAACACCTCAGGAGCAGAGACAACTCTGACATGCTCTCAAACATACGCAAAGGGTCCAAAGTACCTACATAGTAGACTGTGGGGTTTTTTACTAGATTAATTAGGAATCCTTATTATGATGTGTAAGAGTATCCCCCCATTATCAGCCTTTGGGATACGAAGACCAGATCCCCCACGTCCCCTCTTGGCCAATATTGGGAGGTCCGCCCCTGCGTCAGATTGCGAGGGCTGCAGGAGAGCCCATGCCCAGAGTTTCAAACATTAGGGTTTGGGGTTTAGGGTTTAGGGTTCCTCGTATGCTTTAGGATTTACCAAAACCCGGTAACAAAGCCGTGAAAGTCATAAATCCCAGAGGCCTCAACTCCCGACTCCGGCCGTTCTTCTCGAGGGCGCTTTGCCATGGCAGGGTGGATGCAAGCGGGCTAACGTCTTCAGGGTTCTACGGTTTAGGGTTTTGGGGTTTAGGGTTTAGGGTTTAGGGGTTTATGTAGGCTAGCCAGTGATTTTTGGTGGTTCCCTTGGCTCTTTGGCTCCTTATCTAGTAGGGATTATCATCATCCCTGGCTCCTTAGCTCCCCAAATATCAATGGTTATAGTAGGGCTTGAAGGCTCAAGGCCTTTCGTTCCCGGTTTGGGATTCCAAGGCATAGGGCGCCGGCTAATTGGACGGGGTGGATGAGACGGCAAACAAGCTTCGCGGAAGGGTTCATACCGGAATGTGGGCTTCTATACGGTTTAGGGCTTTAGGGTTTAGGGTTTAGGGTTTTAGGGTTTAGGGTATACTTCCTGCCCCGCGCTTGTTCTTCGGATCCTCCGGGGGTTGGTCCTTGACAGACATCTGGGAGGGAGACGGCTGCGGCTTGAGAATCTGACTTGCTGGGTTCTCTGACGGACACAACGCATTGTGGTAGGATTTTCACATTTTCAGTTCTAGATACCAAAGTACGATTGAAGGCCATCTATTCCGGCAGCTGAATTCTTCTTACAGCAAACAGGGCTCGTTTTGCACTTGAGCATGTTAATCTCCAGCAACCAGTGCCTGCCACCAACCCAGCAGCCCTATCCTTGGCTTCAAGCTCTTATCTTCCAGACTTACCCAAAAAATCCTAAGTATCTATATGGGGAGATACTTACGATCGGAACCCTAAGTTCTAGGATGTCGGTACTGAGGACCCTTTGGGTTCAGCATCGGGCTAACCTTCATAAGGGCCCTTATGCTATAGTATAGGGGCCTTAATGATGAGAACAGGGTGTTGGGGCCAATTATACTATGAAAGGAATTATGGTAAGGAACCCTCAAAATAGTATTGATAATCATTTAGGTTCCTATGGTGATCCGACTGAAGCCTTGGTTGCTCCCGAGCACCACCATATTGACAGACCTGCTTCGGCCAAGCTCGGTGGGTCAGGGCGTAGGCTGTAGGGTTTAGGGCGTAAAGGGAACTCCAGAAAGTTGGAATATGGTTTCAGGGTAGGATACCTTATAATTTACCATAAAGGGGTTACGATAATGATATTCCAACTTTCTGGCTTCTACTGTAGGGCGTAGGGTTTTGTGCTTCAAGGTCTATGGAGTAGGCTTCGCCAAGTTGGAGGGGGGGGAATACTTTCGTCTATCCCGTGCACTCCAAGCATACAAATAGGACCTACTTTTGGCTCTAAAGCCTATAAGAAGTACCCACTGTGGGCCATTTGGAGCCAGGTGGGGCACTGCGTGCCTAAGCTCATCGTCTTGATAACACAAGCAAGCATGAACTTCAGGATCTTCCGTGCGGTTTCACTCTCAATGCAGAAACAGCAACATGCATCTTCAAAATAGTGCTGGGACGACGGTCAACGTCGGGAGTTTGAAACTTCCCGCTTGAAGCTACCATGTAACCCAAAATAACCTAAACACCAGCCAGAGGACGATGAACATAAAATCTGCGAAAGGCTTCGGAATTTCGTTTGCAACCGTGAACATGCCCCTGACCCTTGGAGATTTAAGCATCTCCAAATACTTCATCTGGCGCCTGTGTCGTGTAAGTCGTCTAAACTGCAACCTCTAGCTATAAGAGTGGGCCCGAACCCATGGCCAAACCTCAAAAACATCGAACGCTGCAACATGTCCAGTAATACTGTTGATGATATAAATCCTGCATTACCTTAAGGACCCTAAACTATGGGAAGTATGGTATATTCCTTATTATGGGTAATGCAGGATTTCTATCATCAACCGTACCTCCCAACCCACATCTGCAAAACCCTGAACCCCAAAGCCTCTCTGACCCTAAACTCTACCAGTACACCCCATAACCCGAAACCCTCTAACCCTCCCCAACCCTACACAAAGCCTAAACCCTATGAAAACCCTATAACTTGTAACCCTAAAACCGGCCAACCCTACACAAAGCCTCTAGTCTAACCCTAAACCCTATGAAAACCCCATAACTTGTAACCCTAAGACCCTCTAACTCTAAACCCTAAACCCTAAACCCCTCCAACCCTGCACCTACTGAGAAGCAAAAAAACAGAACGGGCCTCGGTCCAAGCTCCTCCCTGCCGGGAAAACATGCAGCTGGCTAGATCACAACTTCGTCGTCTTACATAGGGTTTGGGTTAAGGGCTTCGGTTTAGGGTTTCGGTTTAGGGTTTAGGTTTAGGGTTTCGGTTTAGGGTTTAGGTTTAGGGTTTTGGTTTACGGTTTAGATTTAGGGTTTTAGGGTTTTAGGGTTTAGGTTTAGGGTTCAGGGTTTAAGGGTTTAGGGTTTTAGGGTTTCGGTTTAGGGTTTAGGTTTAGGGTTTAGGTTTAGGGTTTAGATTTAGGGTTTTAGGGTTTTAGGGTTTAGGTTTAGGGTTTGGGGTTTGGGGTTTAGGTTTAGGGTTCAGGGTTTAGGGGAGGTCTGGGGTTTAGGGAAAAGGGATTAGGATTCAGGGAAAAGGACTTATGCAATCGGTCATGCGGACTGTCACGAAGCGAAACACTTGGCGACTAAATGGATGCCAGATTGTATCGAAGATTGGATCTTATAAGCGGCATTTATGGGCTTGGTCATGGTCTGCTACAGGTTTGGTGAAGCTTCATAGGATTCACAGGCTATATCCCCTGGCACTCCGAGTGAAGAAATGACAACTATCGACCTGTGGGCTCATAAACAGACCCTGCAACCACGAACCCCCGCAAGGGCTCCTTCATAGAGCCTCCATACTGTTGATGATATAAATCCTGCATTACCTTAAGGACCCTAAACTGTGGGAATGATGGTATATTCTTTATTATGGGTAATGCAGGATTGATAATCAACCGTAGTGGGTATTTGTAATTGTGGGTAAGTCGCCAAACCCTTAACTTCCACACGTCCATGAATGATTCGGGCTCTGGGCTGATGTAGAAGCGATGAAATATCCCCAATACTATTCCTAGAGCTCTGCTTTAGCATAGTAATTACAAAGGATCCCAAAACTCAATCCTAAACCCCAAACCCCAAACCTCTAGTCTAATTCTCACGGCCCAACCGTCACTCAGAATCCAGGGTGCAGGGTTCCGGGAAGTGACCGTGTGAGCTTCGGTTCCTCTCCAAACCCAAAGCTGCGTCAAACAAAAACTGAAGGTTCACGGCTTATTGTTTAGGGGTCAGGCTTTAGGGTTATTTGTTGAATCTTTAGGGTTGAGTCCTCCCAAAGCCTTACCCGCCTCTTAAGAAATTCCAGACTCCCAGACTCAAAACTCTGAGCCCAACCTCTCCTGAACCCCCCAGAGACTCCAATATCCCTTAATTCAGGAATATTCCTTAAATCATATTAGGGATCCTACTATAATTGAAGGTATATTCCTTAATTAAGGGGTTTTGGAGTCTCTGGGCCTGAGTCGTAGCTGCTCCTTCAAGGGCACTCTATCCTCGGGTTCTATATACTAAGGTACCTTGAAGCGTTCCTTTAAGGGTACCATCCGGGTACTACACTTGCTCCAAGACCGGGTTGTGGAAGCGGTTTAGGGTTACAAGGGGCCCCCACCCTGTAATAGTGGTATTAATGGAATATAACGGGTCCTTATATAATCCTTATAGTCACTATTACAGCATGAGGGCCCCTTCTAAGGTTTAAGGTTCATGTTAAGGTTTCGGGAAGGCCCCTAACTGCCAATCCGAACTCACTGTTGTACAACTCGTTTGGCAACTCTCCCCTAAACAGCCTTTGAAGCTTACTTAGAGATAAGACTAGCTTCTTTTTGTGCTTCTCACTGTTAAACCTAATCCTAAACCCGACAATCCATCTCGATACCCAAAACCCCATATAAATCCTAAACTAAACCAACTTACGGGCCGAGTACCCTGTGCCCCCCCAAAAAAGTAAACCTTTGCAATTACGGTAAGATTACATACATAAACAGCAAAAACCCACCCAAAAAAACGTAACCTTTGCAATTACGGTAAGATTACATACATAAACAGCAAAACCCCCCCCCAAAAAAAAAAGTAAACCTTTGCAATTACGGTAAGATTACATAAACAGCATAAAAAGCTAATTTTTAGGATACCTACCCAGCTACTAAACCAAAACCCGATGTTCTCGTGCGCTGTTGCAGGCCTCAATCTCGGCAGAAGCTGCTCTCCTCCACCTCTGGAATTTCTGGTTGAGGGCTTCAGGGTCTTGGGATTTCGAGGTTTAGGCTGCCTGGGCTTTGGGGGTTTTGGGCTCCAGGGCATTGGGATTTCGAGTTGAAGGGTTCAGGGGTTTAGGGTATTCCACTTTATAGAGTCCTGGATCTCAGGGTTTAGAGCCTTAGAGTTTAGGACTTAGCTGCAGGCAGCTCGCGGGCCGTGGGTGTAACTGATAACACAAAAATCAAGGCCTTTGTGGTATGTTGCACTACAAGATACTGGAAGTGTAAGGGCGTCCTATTACTGATCTATATGTGTTAAGTGGCATTGTGACTTCAACAGATGTTCGTTTCAGGATCCTGGTGAACTTGAGGTCCTCCAGCCGTTCTTTGAGGTCCGAAATCCTGGGACTTCCATGACAAGAGCCAGCACGGCAATCTTGCTGCTCCCAAGCTGATGTTCAAGGCTCTCAACTCTACATTTTTATGATGGAAGGCTTTTTATAAGGATATCTAGATATTATTTGGGGCTTACGGATATAACAGACGTTTAAGTTTAGCGGCCCTGTGGGATGTTTCGCCGTTTGTCAGCACCAGTGTACCTTTAAGGGCTTGGGATCAAGGTGCTTAAAGGACGCCAGCCCTTTGAGCTTAGAGCTTAGGGGGTTCCAGGTCTTGGGATGGACCTAAGACCGTCGAATTTCGAGGTTGAGGATCGCCTCGAACCCTCTCCCAAATCCTAAACCCTAAACCCAAATCCCCTAAATATCAGCGCAGTCGCCGACACGGATGTCCACTGCAGCTGGTCGCTCAGCACCTGCT